TATTTTAGTCTTTTGTGGCGGTCAATAGTACATGCACTCGAAATCTAATTAAGAAGAGTTCGTATTTCTCTTTCGATCGAGAAAAAAAAAACTCGCTATTGTCAACTTAAGCATGTCTATTTCTCAATAAGTTGTTGTTAAGGTCTCTAAACTTTTTAAGTCATTTTTCTCTTGAAAACCCTGCTATTGGTTCTAAATTGCCGACAATGGCGATTGTTTTCCCTCTCTTATTATTCGAAAATGTTACTTTACCATATAAGTTATTAATCTTTACATCATTTACACATTTGGTATGTTTTTTTCAAAAATAAAGATAAATCGTTTGCTATCAAACACGTTAATGTACGTTGGTAGTAGTGTCCCCTCCTTTTTTGGGGGTTAGTTAATGTCCTCTCGTTTTTCGAAGATTACAACAAAAGAATATGATTTGTGTGTATAGAAAAATGAACATAATCTAAGTAAACAATACATTTGGGGATTGATGATTAATCCCAATTTTTAGTACTAGTATTAAAAAAAAAACGGGTATTAAGGTGACTAAGCTGTTGAATCGAAAAATAGGGTTGACCAAATTATTAATGAAGGGTTGGTGAGAAGCCGTTGGTTACTATACTGAGTTTTCAGCTACTTGACATCCTCCTTTCTTCACATGTTTCCAGTGAATGTGTTACCACTTACCCAAATCCCTCCTAATATATAGGCGAATTTCATTTAATTAACCATCTAATTAGTTTTCATTTTTTCTTCAACACTTAGGGAGGTTAATTATGCAACTAAAGCAATGACTTTAGTCTAAACCAACAAACTCAAAGTGGTTTGGGTTGGTTTCTTTCATGTAGAGAATGCTATAAAACTAAGTAGTTGGTCTCTTTCCAAATCGAGAAAAATGTTCGAATTCAAATGATGCGAGATAGAAACTTATTTCGAGCAACCAAAACAAATTACATTGGAGTTCTAGATAGTTCAACGAAGTTTCTACTTAGACTATAAATCATTAAAAATTATAGCCAAGAGCTAGCAAAAAATTTATATGTAACAATCTTATGTCATGAAAGAAAAAGGCTGTCTTTTATAAAGATTTTTTTGACAAGAAAAAGATATTTCTTTATACCGAGATACGAACATGTAGTATATATATTTGTTTGTGTTAGTTTAGTCCTTGCGTAATCATCCATATTCAAACTTGATAGAAAATGAAGAAGATAAATCTAACATAACAATTGTCGTACAAATTCTAATTAAATGAGAGCATTAAACTTATAAACAAAATCATTAAAACTCTACTCAAGAATACTTCATCAGTTGTTTACAAAGTTTTTGACCGGCAGTTAAAGAAAGCTATATTTGGATAAAGAAACAATACAGAATGTATTAAATTAATTCATAGCCCGTGCTCATAGATATCGATGTTCCTTTCACATCCCGTTTCCAAGTTCAGAGAATCCAACTACGAGATTTGGATCTTTCTTTTTTTTGCTTTGCAAAATTGATTGCTGAGAGAGCCTCATAATGACATAGTTAGGTGGAAGATTTACTCAAAGGTACACACACCACTATCGAGATTAATGCGATATTTATTATTGTTATTATTGTTTCAACATACTAATTCGTGATTTAACAATCAAAAGCTATAATGCTATATGATGTAAAGCTGATAGTTGAACAACTTATCGTGGTAGCTAAGAGTTTTTTTTTTCAAATTTGGAAGTTAATTTAGCGATTAATATAAGAGGTTCCACATATTCAAGAATCAAGATTCAAATTGTTGAGAACACAATTAATAACGAGTGAAATAGGTTCATCGCACTTGTCATTCAAAATTTAGTAGCCTCTAATCGGTTAACAACATGTACTTATTTTGTTTGGCATGCAATGAAACAAATCTAAATAGAATTGGACCAACCTACATTTATAAGTTATAACTGCTTTCAGTAAAAAGAAAAAAGAAAAAGAAAAAACAGAAGTGATTATATCGCTAGATCTAGTACCTATTAGGATAGTCGAGTTATATAAATAGAATAATGAAGGCATTTACTCTATGGATCTATCTATTCATGTTTTCAGCGGCGACTGGCACATGACATCCGGCTCATTGGCTCATTTTACGGGGAAGTGATGTGACCACGTGAGACTATAACGTCTAACGATATTGACTATTTATTTCCTTATATAACGGTTATTATTCCATGGATCTAGATATGAATCATTTCTTGTTAACCATATTGTATTTTCATTAATTTTTTTAGTGGTTTGTACTAGTAGTGTTGATGTGTGACATTCGAATTGAAATCCGTATATTATATACCAAAAAAGTTCACTAAACGATTACAAATTTTATTGTTTGTCTGTCTTATAAGGTCTATGAAACAAGTATTTTGTTAAATAGCGACGCAAAATGTGTTTGCCAATTGCCATATTTGAGTTATAACAAACAAAAGGAAATTGACTTACTAATATTATTAATATGTGAATGTACGTAGTGAACTACTACTACATAGTACATACAGTGCCCATACAGGTAATGCGTGTGCTTCACATGTACTTGTCCACATCTTTGATTATGACATTGGTCGGAGAAGAAAACGGAAAATTTAATATATACGCCGGCAAATTAGTGGATAATGAGGATGGGCCACTGGATATTTATGACTCTAAAAGGCCCATTAAGAAGTCAATGGTCTCTTTAGCTAAAAGTAAGCGTGGCATTTGCCGTATTTCTTCCCAACAAAATGGTTTGTCTCAACTTAAAAAGATAGGAGAGAAAGTTGGTGGGTTTTGTTGTCATTGTTTGGGCCTTAAATATTTAATGATTCCAATTGGCCCATGGAGAACACAAGGGTCTATTGAGTAAAAAGTAAGAGTTTAGGGCAACAAAACAATATTTACTAAAATTGAGGGGTTTATCGTAATTCTCCGAGAAGATAATACTCGTAGCAGTCTCTCTCTCTCTCTACCTAGCGGTGCGTTGTTGTGAATTTTCCTCTTTTCAAATCTCACAGCAACAAAACCCTAGCTACTTGCTCTTCTCGATATCGGAGAAAAAGATCCGGCGAAGATGTCAGGTGGCTTGGATATGTCACTTGATGATATCATCAAATCTAATCGAAAACCTACTGGATCTCGCGGCCGAGGAGGCATTGGTGGTGGTAATAACACCGGTGGTCGCGGTGGTACCGGTTCCAATTCCGGTCCGTCTCGTCGATTTGCTAACCGCGTAGGAGCCAGAACGGCGCCGTATTCAAGGGTCAGCCATTGATTTTTATCTCCCTTTACCTTCTTCCTTCAAGAATCAGAGAATTCCATTTAGGGTTTTTATGAAAAAAAATCAAAAAAAAGTTGAGATCTTTTTTTTCGTTTCTTCTTTGACGAACAAAACAGCCGATTCAACAACAAGCTCATGATGCGATGTGGCAAAACGATGTTTTCGCGACTGACGCGTCTGTGGCGGCGGCTTTTGGGCATCATCAGACTGCTGTTGTTGGTGGTGGCTCTTCTATCGAGACTGGAACTAAGCTCTACATTTCCAACTTAGACTATGGTGTCTCAAACGAAGATATCAAGGTTTGTGCTTTAGAAGTTTATGATTGTTCCAGTCTTAATTAGCAGAAAGATTGTGGCCCTTTTCTGATCTTGAGATGGTTTTGTTTGTAGGAGCTTTTCTCTGAAGTTGGTGACCTTAAGCGGTATGGGATTCACTATGATAGGAGTGGAAGATCAAAGGTACTTGATAAGCTTTATAGTGCTTCAGTGATTTGTTTATCGAATCGTCTTGTCATGTTCAAACCTAAAAACGATGCTTTCAGGGTACTGCTGAAGTTGTTTTTTCGAGGCGTGGTGATGCCTTGGCAGCTGTCAAGCGTTACAACAATGTTCAATTGGATGGAAAACTGATGAAGATAGAGATTGTTGGGACTAATCTTTCAGCTCCTACTCTTCCCCTTCCTGCTCCAGCTCAGTTTTCTTTTCCTACTAATGGGATACTTGGGAACTTTAATGAGAACTTTAACGGCAATTTCAATGGGAACTTCAATGGAAACTTCAGGTTTGTCTTGTTTTCAGTCTTGTTCACTATGGAATCTTCATAATATCATTAGCTAGGGTCTAATAACCAATTGCGAAGTCAAGTTTTCTTACTTTCAATGAGATGGCTTATGTTTTGGTCTTGAGTTAGTATCTCGATGAAATACTTTTTTGGTTAGGCTGGTGTTAGCTAAGTGGATTCTGATAGGTTGATTACACGAACCCTTGTATTAAATATTTTGGATAACCTGTTATGCAACAGAGGCAGAGGAAGAGGCGGTTTTATGGGGCGTCCTCGTGGTGGTTTTGGGGGTGGTAATTTCCGAGGAGGTAGGGGAGCTAGAGGACGTGGTGGTCGTGGCAGTGGTGGAAGAGGACGTGAGGAAAACGTATCTGCAGAGGATCTTGATGCTGAATTGGACAAGTACCACAAAGAGGCAATGGAAACAAGTTAGAAAGGGCAGACAAAACCTATTGCATGCCTACATGTATTCCTTCCTTTAGTGCACGATATGCTTTTGTATTAGTATGATCTTTAGATTGATGTCAATGGGTCTGACCTTATCTGAGGTTTAGCTATTTTTTTCTTCTCTATGTGAGCTATTTAGCTTTTGCAGTTGAGTTCAGAGAAACAGCATTGTGTGTACCGTGGAACTCAAACTCCTCTAAAGTGTTTATTCGAAACATCATTCCATCTACTGTCTGTTGCTATAGTGTTTTAAGGCTTTAAGCAGATGGTGAAGCTGGGAACGTTCTGATGGCAGAGCACAGTGAATTCAACAGCATTGTTGGTTTATTTTTTGGGCAACCTATGAGGTCTTCAGAGATTTTGGTTTGAACAATGTTAGTGTGGTAGTGTATGGTTTTAAATGAAGATGAATCTCATATCATTTCATCCACAGAACAAAATTTATCTAGATTCTGTAATCATTATAAGCTTTGGCATTAAGTTGTTCCAAATTTTTGAGTTTGGTCGTTGCATAAATTCATAGATATTATTAAACAATAGAAAAAGCAAAATAAATATTACTCAGCTAGAAATACTAAGAGAGTTTCACGACCCAACACAATGATTACAGGGTCAGAGACCTTAAAACCTACTTATTAATTACCAAAGTTTGATATAGTTTGTGATTTTCAACTTCTTCGCTTTCGAGAATTCGATCCTTTTCCTATCAAGAAGAAGGCAGAAAAAATTGTATTATATAGTGAAGCCCCTTTGCATCAAAAGCAGCTTAAAGAACGAACCTTTAGATGGAGTGGAGTTAGTTTCACTACCATCCTTTACTTGGATAAGGTTCCGATCCTGCAAAACCAAACAATGTTAAGACACTGTTCCCATGGTTGGTGTAGTGTTCAAGAATCAAATCACAAACCATATCATAAACAGGAATTTGGTTGCGCCAAAACTCTAGTGATGATACAAGCACCCTTCCTGCAAAACATTAAACAAAAACCCTTTTAACAAAATGCTTTCAGCAGAGCCCTTTGGAAGTGAGAAGTTCTACTCTCTATTAACCTGATCTTGACCGTTTTTGTCCCACTGAATCAGTAGACTCCGCATTGGTCTTCTGCTTCTTCACTTCTTTTTCCGGTGTTACCTTTGAATTACATAACAACAAGAGCATCAAGTACTATTAACAAAAACATGAAAATCAGAGGATTATTGGTTGAAAAGTATCATTATGATTCATATTTGAATTGATGATAACCAGAATGTAAGAGGTGACAAAAGGGGAAGTGGTTACCTCCACATCAAAGTCGATTTTCCTCTTTATTTTTTCCCATGACAAGTTTTCTTCAGCTTCTTCAACTTGAGACCTCGACTGATTCATAGGCTCTACCACATTGCTGTCACTTTGAAGGGTCTTCTCACTTTTCCTTGATTTTCCTTTCTTTCCAGGCTTGCGACTATTAATTAAGTCCTTCGACAGGGGATCTCGAGATGCCTTTGTTACCTTCACTCTACCTTTTCCCTGTTCTGACGGCAGTAATTCTTTAGTAGCATTCTTACTTTTCTTCGATATTCCTTTCTTTTCAGATTTGCTACTCTTGTCTAAATCTTTAAGCAGGGAATGTGGAGATGCTGTCGTTCCCAGTACACCTTTTCGCTGTTCTGAAGTCAGTGATTCTACAGTAGCACTCGCACTTGTTACTTTATCAACATTATCTGCACCGGTATACTTAATACCACATCCAACCGCTGGCGATATCACATTATTATCGATAACTTCGCACTCCTCTTTTTCTACATCTCTGCTCTTAGCCTTAATTAAACCTTCACTACCATGAACTCCATCATTAGTACGATTCTGGAGCTCACTGCCATCGAGTTTCCATTCACTGTCTTCATTATTGATAGCCTCACATCCATCGTTTTCTACATCACCGCTCTTAGCCTTACTTAAACATACACTACCATGATCTCCTTCATTAGTAGCGTTCTGGACTTTACTCGATTCAAGTTTCCTTTCCTCCTCTTCACTTAGATGAAGAGACTTTCTACTTGCAGTTTTTTTAGCTCTTGCTCTCGAACCATCTTTATCATTAATCTCTGCGATATCTGTCTCAGTCACACTGCTTTTATCTCTACTCTCAGCTGGATTATCCTCTACATTCCCGTTCGAGTACTTACATGGTGATAAAATGGGAGGACAAGCTGCATAAGAAATCATAAAAGAACAATATTTCAAACACAGATGCATCACAAAAACACACACATAAAGACATGCTTCAAGTCCTAACCTCTATCGATTGTCGAAGGGACGGTATTAATATCAGTGCCAATAGAGTCTCCAACAAAGCAACTGTTACAAAATCGTTCCCAACAAGGAGGAAACCCGAAGATAAATTCACGAGAAATCTATTCCCAGGACCAGACCACAGAACAAAAGAGAAAGAACAAATCAATACACATTTGTATTATTAGCTTTTTAATAGCTCAAGTTCCAACAAGTAAGCAATGTTTAGATTACCTCAGGGGTAAATCCACTATTAACAACGCGTTCTTTGTTAAGAAAACCACGGAGAGTTATATAGATTCCATCAGATGCTAAGAGTGTGAAAACATCCAAAGCTCTGATGATTGGGGAGGATTTAAACACACGCATTGCTCGAGTCCTATTAAGCCAAAATCGAAAAGTTCAAAAACTAATCTCATAAAGAAATTCAAAATCGATAAGTTCTTACTCGACGGAAACTTCGAATCCAGCAACACCAAATTGTTTGCCGTCGAATTCCTTTGGACATTTTATCAACCACCAATCTCTCAGCACCACCTTTTTCATAAACCCAGATGAAAAAGAGGTTTTTTTAGAACACTGATTGAATCAAACACGAGAAGATGAAGTATAAAGCTCACTCACCGTTTTCTGGAAATACGACTTCGAACCATCATCGTCGGGACTTGGTTCCGCCATGGAGCTGGATAATATCTCAATTGAGAAATAATCGGAACCTAAGGAGATTGTGGAGAAGAGATTCGTGAGATTTTTAGTGAGCAAATCGGAAAAGTTTAGGGTTTAACTGTTTGGAACAATGGGAATGATAATTGCTTTGGCGGGGAAAACTTGATCCGGTTTAGATAACCAGTTTGGTTTAAAGCTTGTGCTGTGTGTATTTTGGTTCTCGTTTCCTGATTTCTAGATTCTCCGGTTTAAATAACCAGTTTGGTTTAATCCTTGTGCAGTTTCTTGGGTTCTAAATTTGAATTAATAAGAATTGCCCTATAACTATATGCAAAAAACCACAAAAATTAGCCCAAGTATAAAAATTTACGTAAAATCAATAAAATTAATAACACATCTTAAGAACTCGAAGATGGTTTATTCCAATTTATTTTTGACGTATTAAAAATTAACAATTGCTTAAAAAGAGTACCTTTGGCTCAGAAAAACAATTTGTACATACAAACTCAACATTGGTCAACACACAAACACTAGGCAGTAACTCTCATCTATGAAACTAAACATTAATTATATATAGATGTCCAACGTGCTCACAAACAGTTTCAGAAGAAGTCAGTACTTAGAAGACTTGGAAACTTCTTCTGAAGCTATAGAGAGATTCATGAGTCGCTCTGTTATACATAAGATTATGTAGTAAACAGTCATATAGTTTTAGTAGACGTCTGGTGGCAAATTCCCTGAGAAAGAAGTCTGTTGTTGTTGTTGTGACCTTTGAAGATGGAGTTTCATGGCGTAGTTGCTAAGCTGATGAATGATATTCACAAACGAAAACGAAGGGAAAATCAGTAATCCGATGATTGATTGATTTACAAGATTGATGTTCAAGAGTTTCTAATTGCGGTTTAGGCAATTTAGTTACCTCTAGCTTATGAACTTGTTCTTGGTATTGCCCCACAACGCCTTTCAAATGCTGTACTTGTTTGGCCTTCTCTTCGTTTTCAGAGCTACGCTGGTGTTGATTCGCAATGACCCGCTTCAAGATTTGGTTATCATTGATCAAACTCTGTAGACTCTCCTTCAACGACGCATATTCAAGCTGCAATGAATTAAGAGAGCTCTTTATTTGTTATCATCTAGACCCAAGAAAACCTGAGCATTATCAATGTCATCATTTTATACCTTGTTCGAGGCATTGGTGTTCTTCTTTATGATTCTCTCTAAAGCTTCTAAGATCACTGCAACACGTCGCCTCATATCATCAACGTTTATCGCTTTTGCCATCTCGGATACAAGTCTATCAACCCATTTAGCTCCATCGATCATATCCTCATCCCTCCAACTTCCCACAGATCCATCAAATGAGCCAGCTTTTGTTCTATCCGAATCCCCATTGAATAAAATTGAGCTTAAACTCTCTTTTGCCTCTTCAAACACGTAATTCTTGTTGCTTAGAACCTCTCTAACAAACTAATTCAAAATCCCACCAAAAACAAAGACTACATTAGCAACAAACTCCAAAAGATTTTTGTAGCAAAACATAACCAGCCAGTTCCCAATTTCCACAACACAAAGCAATAAAGACTAATGTTGCATCAAGTATAAGGAACTACATCAATATACACTTAGCAGTTTTAACATGGAAGATTGGATATAGATAAATTTGATGAACTTTTAGTATATGAAAAGAGTAATTAGCAGCAATATTCATCAGTTAAAAATGGAAACTTTACGACGAACCTCAGGATCCATGGAAGGGAACATATGGATCAAAGATGCAACCGGGTCATCGGATTCAGACCCGGTTTCAGATGAACGGATCGGCGATCCAAAGCTTGACCATTTGGATCTCTTATTCGTCGGGGACGATGAAGACCCGAAGAAATCCTCGTACCCGACCCGTTTACCGCAAACTCTTGTAGACATTTGTAACACCGAGCAATTATCCTAAAACCCCCACGCCCAAAGGATTTAACTTTTATCAAAAGAGGAAAACCCCTGACTCCGAAGATCGATTTATTGATAAGATGAATAGACAAGAATGTAGACGTACCGTGATGTTTCCAAGTTCCAACCATTGTTAAAGTCTTGCAGTGAAGAAGAAAGAGGACAACGACGAGCAATTACAAAATATCAATTATTAGTATTATAATTGTCTATTCTAAACAACAAAGTGGCTGTAGTTTAGTGGTAAGAATTCCACGTTGTGGCCGTGGAGACCTGGGCTCGAATCCCAGCAGCCACACTTACTTTTTCTTTTTTTCTTTTCTAAAATTGAAACGTCGTCGTTTACCATATAACGAAACGACTTTGTTTTGAGTCAACCATTTCCTAACCAGAGTCTTTCTTCTTCTTCACTTTCGATCTGCTTCGTAGAGTCGAAAAGAATCGAAGAAGCAAGTCTGTATTTTTTAAGCTCTCGAAGGTAAAACACTCAGAGATTTAACCTGGTTTTTGGGTCTTCTCCTTGAATTTGTGGATCTTAGGCTTGAATCTATTCCTAGGATAAATTACGTAGAGATCTGATGATGACACTTCTCATTATGAGATTCAATCAATTTCGTTTTTTTTTTGCGTATTCCATTGTTGGTGTCTTTGATTTTATACGCATATCTGGATTTCGAATCGTATTATCAAAGTTATTTTCTTTTAATGCTGCATCTTTGATTTGGTGTTGAGATAGAAATGGATGTTAAAAGTGTAGATTCGTTGGTGATTTCTATAAGTTTTGTTTGAGTCTCATATTGTTAATTTCTGTGGGTGTTACAGATGTTTGATGACCAAGACCTCGGCTTCTTTGCCAATTTTCTGGGGATTTTCATCTTCATAATGGTCATTGCATACCATTTCGTGGTGGCAGAGCCAAAATTCGAATGAGGATGAGGTTTTATCCTTGTTAGTTTCTACAAAACAATTATAAATGTGTCGGTTTCAACATGTCTTAAGCATTCCATAGGTCGTGATGTTTCGCCAATAGATGAGTTATCAATGTATTTTGACAATGTGGTTTTTGTTTGGATGGATAAAAGCGTTAAAGACTTCTTTTTCGTAGTGTTTTATTAATCATTCATGTTTCAGTAAGAAGTTTTGTGTTTAGAGCATATTGCATACATGGGCGAATATCGTCTACCCGGATTTCCCAGTTGTTCAGGTCTTCTCTGTAGCTCTGTTACTTGTAACACAGTCTTGACAGGTACTTGAAATCGGGTATTTGAGAAACAGATTTAGCTTTATAAATTGGATAAGTTAAAAAGCTAAAATGGATTTCTCCTTATAATCATGGTTTACTACAGGTTTACATGATTCACGTTAGCTTAATGTGGATCTCTCAGCTCTTTTTTCCATGATGTTATGTCATATGTGGTACCGTTACTATGTTTATACAGTCTGTTTCACTGGAGTTTCTGTGATTATGTTGAGTACAAACGCATTCATCCTTTGGTAACTCTCATGATTAGGTTTTTTGAATACCTCTGTTGTGATACTTATTGTCTATTGCATCAATCTTATTCTTCTATTGTTAGGTAAATGTTCATGCTTTAATGTCATCACCTGTCTTCCTCTTCTATAGCTATGTAGTCTTGGTAGATAATTAGTTCTTTAGCTCTCTTTTTGTAGCCTTGCTAGAGAGTTAGTTGAGATTTTACCTCTTCAGAGTATCCTTGAACGCTTTCCGGTTATGACCAATTTGTTGTAGCTCCTTGTAAGTAGAACTTGGGATAGGTTTTAGGAGTCATCATAAAGAGAGTGACAAAGAGCCCAATATCAAAGATTGTAGGCTCTGTCTCGGCTACTGTAACGAAACTCTCTGTAGCTCTGAGTTTTGTTGTTCAGAACAAAGAACCAGAGATGGGATGATTTGTCCTTCGAAACTGGACCTAACAACAGTCAAGAAGAGAAGTGCTTGCTTGAACTAAGCCACAACAATGCCTATTTGAACCGTCCATTTCATTTATCCGTTTTAAACCTCCCATTTACATTTGTCCCATTGATAACCAAAAAAGCGGTTCAATCAGATTATGTTTTACCAATTAAATTATGGTTTTCCTTTTTACAACAACAACAAGAAATTGCTTTTTTCTTTTTTTACAAATCAAGAAAAAAAACTGTAACTTTCTAATTTGTCAAGAATAAGGAAGAGAAAATTATGTAAACAAAGAAAAAAAGGAAAATTTTGTTACCATCTTCAAATAAGGTAAATTTTGTTTTTCCTTTTTACAACAAGAACAAGAAATAACTTTTTACTTTGTCAAAACTGAAAAAGGAAGGGAAAATTATGTAAACAAAGAAAAAAAGGAAACAATATCTCACCGAACTCTCCTAATTACCATCTTCAAATAAGGAAAATTAATTATGATCCGCATATATTGGAAGATCAATGTATAAACAAACTTGCACGTGGAAGAGAGAGAAGATACGCTCCACACAACTTGCACTCATTGTACCTCACAAACCAATCAAAACACACCAAAAAGCCAACGTGTACAAATTAGGGTTTTACCTCACAGCCATCGAACATTCTCGAAACTTTTTAAACAGCCTGGCGCCATAGATCTAAACTCTCATTAACAAATTTTTGACCGTCCGATCAAACTCTAGCCTCAACCCAAAACTCTATATAAAGAAATCTTCTTCTTCATTAATGCTTACCAAATACAAACCCTAGCCGCCCTATTCGTCTTCTTCGTTCTCTATTTTTTTTTCTCAGTCTCTGTTCTTAGATCTCTTGTAGCTCCAAATCTTCCGATAAAAAAATGTCGGGTAAAGGAGAAGGACCAGCTATCGGTATCGATCTTGGTACTACTTACTCTTGCGTCGGAGTATGGCAACACGACCGTGTTGAGATCATTGCTAATGATCAAGGAAACAGAACCACACCGTCTTACGTCGCTTTCACTGACTCCGAGAGGTTGATCGGTGATGCCGCTAAGAACCAGGTCGCCATGAACCCAGTTAACACCGTTTTCGGTACGTATCTCGTTCTCTTACCTCTCTTATACTTGAAATCTAGATCTAGTTCATCGTAGTTAGATCTATAGTCGTGTTGTAGTTAGATCTATGATCTGGATAACAATCGAATATGTTTGAGTTAGGGTTTCATCAATAGATCTAATTGGTTAGATCCTGTTTATATTGATTCATCTATGCTTAATTTAGTAAGTTCTTGCTTGAACTAGTAATAGCTGTTGATTTTTTGAATTGGAAAGTCTTGTCAGATATTTATTACTATTTTTGTTGATTTTGCTTCAGATCTTTATTGCTTGTTTAATGATTTGTCAGGTTACTTAATTTGTTTTTTTCTTTTTGGCTTTTGCAGATGCAAAGAGGTTGATCGGTCGTCGTTTCTCTGACAGCTCTGTCCAGAGTGACATGAAATTGTGGCCATTCAAGATTCAACCAGGACCTGCCGACAAGCCAATGATCTACGTCGAATACAAGGGTGAAGAGAAGATGTTCGCTGCTGAGGAGATCTCTTCCATGGTTCTCATTAAGATGCGTGAGATTGCTGAGGCTTACCTTGGTGTCTCTATCAAGAACGCTGTGGTCACCGTTCCTGCTTACTTCAACGATTCTCAGCGTCAAGCTACAAAGGATGCTGGAGTTATTGCTGGTTTGAACGTTATGCGAATCATTAACGAGCCTACAGCTGCCGCTATTGCCTACGGTCTTGACAAGAAGGCTACCAGCGTTGGAGAGAAGAATGTTCTTATCTTCGATCTTGGTGGTGGTACTTTTGATGTCTCTCTTCTTACTATTGAGGAGGGTATCTTTGAGGTGAAGGCAACTGCTGGTGACACCCATCTTGGTGGGGAAGATTTTGACAACAGAATGGTTAACCACTTCGTTCAAGAGTTCAAGAGGAAGAGCAAGAAGGATATCACCGGTAACCCTAGAGCTCTTAGGAGGTTGAGAACTGCCTGTGAGAGAGCGAAGAGGACCCTTTCCTCCACTGCTCAGACCACCATCGAGATTGACTCTCTATATGAGGGTATTGACTTCTACTCCACCATCACCCGTGCTAGATTCGAGGAGCTCAACATGGATCTTTTCAGGAAGTGTATGGAGCCAGTTGAGAAGTGTCTTCGTGATGCTAAGATGGACAAGAGCACTGTTCACGATGTTGTCCTTGTTGGTGGTTCCACCCGTATCCCTAAGGTTCAGCAATTGCTTCAGGACTTCTTCAACGGTAAAGAGCTTTGCAAGTCTATCAACCCTGATGAGGCTGTTGCCTACGGTGCTGCCGTCCAGGGAGCTATTCTCAGTGGTGAAGGAAACGAGAAGGTCCAAGATCTTCTGTTGCTTGATGTTACTCCTCTCTCCCTTGGTTTGGAAACTGCCGGTGGTGTCATGACCACTTTGATCCCAAGAAACACAACCATCCCAACCAAGAAGGAACAGGTCTTCTCCACCTACTCAGACAACCAACCCGGTGTGTTGATCCAGGTGTACGAAGGAGAGAGAGCCAGAACCAAGGACAACAACCTTCTTGGTAAATTCGAGCTCTCCGGAATCCCTCCGGCTCCTCGTGGTGTCCCCCAGATCACAGTGTGCTTTGACATTGATGCCAATGGTATTCTCAATGTCTCTGCCGAGGACAAGACCACCGGACAGAAGAACAAGATCACCATCACCAATGACAAGGGTCGTCTCTCCAAGGATGAGATTGAGAAGATGGTTCAAGAGGCTGAGAAGTACAAGTCCGAAGATGAGGAGCACAAGAAGAAGGTTGAAGCCAAGAATGCTCTTGAGAACTACGCTTACAACATGAGGAACACCATTCAAGACGAGAAGATTGGTGAGAAGCTTCCCGCAGCAGACAAGAAGAAGATCGAGGACTCTATTGAGCAGGCGATTCAATGGCTCGAGGGTAACCAGTTGGCTGAGGCTGATGAGTTTGAAGACAAGATGAAGGAATTGGAGAGCATCTGCAACCCAATCATTGCCAAGATGTACCAAGGAGCTGGTGGTGAAGCCGGTCCTGGTGCCTCTGGAATGGACGATGATGCCCCTCCTGCTTCAGGCGGTGCTGGACCTAAGATCGAGGAGGTCGACTAATCTGTTGGATCGTGACCTCTCTCTTTCTCCTATCCCTATCTCTTTACTTGCTTTTTTTGGATCTCTTTAAGACTTTTTATGTTGGGCTTTTTTAAAGGAGCCCATTTTGTGGTGTTTTTTGGTTAGTACTTTTTTGAACAATGGCTGGTTTTACCCCAGCTTAGCTACGATGACGGATAAAATTAAAAGTTTCTATATTCTCTCTCTTATTTTGGTTATGATTTTAGAATATGTACCTCATAGTCTCCCACGTGATACATGTTTTGTTGTTTGACATGGAAGTGAGTCGGGATTCCATAGCATACTTGTTATCTATTTGAGTATTTTCCCATACGTGGTAAGACTTCTATAAGTTTAAGAACGTCAAAAACATCAAAATTCAAATAGGGAAGCTATTTTTAATGGCTTTACAAGTATAATAAAAACATATAAGAAAGTTGTATTTGTATAAACCAAACTTTCAGTCATATTCGTAGCTATGACCTCAACCCAAAAGTAAAAATATCATAGGAACACACTCATTTTAATTGTTCGTTTACTCACAAAACTAAATCCAAAAAGAAATTCAAAGTTCACGGAATGTTGTTGAAATTTTTAATATTTTATCCAACAATTTCAAATTCGAATTCCATAAAATATCATGAAATCTGATTTATAAGATTCCAAATAAGTGCATCTCAATTGAGGATCCACCTAATTCGGCTAGTTTAACTCGGAATTGCTGCTAATTATGGTATGGGTAAGATTTAGGTCAACATATCAAATTGTGTACAATCTATTGCCTATTGGATATAATGTAAAGTAAATCTACGTCAGTATAGTCTTAAGAGTTAGAAACGTATGATGTATCATGTATGTAGGATCCACCACGGGTTGCTCCATGTTTTGTCATTGTAAAAGTTTAAAGTTGTATACTTCTCTATTGCAATTTGCAAAATCAAACATAATATAAAAATAATCAAGTTGTTTATATAAAAATTAAAAGTAGATTTTAATTCACTTATTTCTTAATTTGCACGCAATGTATAGTGAAAGTTTTGTTTTTACTCGAGACAAATTAAAATGAGTAGCTTCACTTCTATCTATGCCCAACCAATTAAAAGAAAGCCTCACCGCGGCCCACAGGCAATGACTGACCTTTATTATTTCTTAATTCTTACTAGGCCCATTACTATGCCAAGAAATCTTACGTGTCAATTAATAAGCCGACCCCACATATGAACGTTAGAGCAGTTTTCCAATATTCAACACGCGCTTTTCCGTTTTTGGACAATATCACGTTTTTCCTTTTCAATATTTGGACAATATCACTTTTTTCCTTGTTTTTTCATGGAACAAATTTGCCTAGGATTTGGAAAAGGAATCTATCACTTAAACACCGTCAGATCAATCTCAAACATAATCTACGGTTAAAAACACATCATCGGAACATTCTGGAACCATAAGTCTCAGCCTTATAAAAACCAAGACTTGGACGCTCTTTCTTCACAAACCTTAAAACCTAGCTCTAAACTTTCGCTTCGCTGCCCTAAAACTTTTTTCAAGCTTTTTCTCTGTTAGTGTGATAATGGCTGGTAAAGGAGAAGGTCCTGCGATCGGTATCGATCTTGGTACGACGTACTCTTGTGTCGGAGTATGGCAACATGACCGTGTTGAGATCATCGCTAATGATCAAGGAAACAGAACCACTCCGTCGTACGTTGCTTTCACCGACTCCGAGAGGTTGATCGGTGATGCTGCTAAGAACCAGGTCGCTATGAACCCGGTTAACACTGTTTTTGGTATGTAAATCTCATCTTATACTCTGGTTGGTTGGTATCTTGAGTTAAAGTACGAATTTTTAGGGTTTATAGGATGACCTTAATTGCTTGCGTTATACCCATAGGCTGATTATGAACTGTTCATGTAAAATTAGGGTTTTTAAGTAGTTTGAACAAAGGATTTTAGTTGAAGTTGATGTTTTGGGCTGGAATTGTTTTGTTGACTAAACTCTGTTTTTTGTTTTTGCTAATTGTGACAGATGCAAAGAGGTTGATTGGTCGTAGATACAGTGACGCATCGGTTCAAAGTGACAGACAGTTATGGCCTTTCAAGATCATCTCTGGAACTGCAGAGAAACCAATGATTGTCGTCGAGTACAAGGGAGAAGAGAAACAATTCGCTGCTGAAGAAATCTCTTCCATGGTTCTCATTAAGATGCGTGAGATCGCTGAAGCTTTCCTTGGCACTACTGTCAAGAACGCTGTGGTCACTGTTCCTGCTTACTTCAATGACTCTCAACGTCAAGCCACAAAGGATGCTGGTGTGATTGCTGGTTTGAATGTTTTACGTATCATCAACGAGCCCACCGCTGCTGCTATTGCTTATGGTCTTGACAAGAAGGCCACAAGTGTTGGAGAGAAGAATGTTTTGATCTTTGATCTTGGTGGTGGTACTTTTGATGTCTCTCTTCTTACCATTGAAGAAGGTATCTTTGAGGTCAAGGCAACGGCTGGTGATACTCATCTTGGTGGTGAAGATTTTGACAACAGAATGGTTAACCACTTTGTTCAAGAGTTTAAGAGGAAGAACAAGAAGGACATCACCGGTAACCCGAGAGCTCTCAGGAGGTTGAGAACAGCTTGTGAGAGAGCAAAGAGGACTCTTTCTTCCACCGCCCAGACTACCATCGAGATTGACTCTTTGTTTGATGGAGCTGACTTCTATTCACCAATCACCCGTGCTAGATTCGAAGAGATGAACATGGATCTCTTTAGGAAGTGTATGGAGCCTGTTGAGAAGTGTCTCCGTGATGCCAAGATGGACAAGAGCACTGTTCACGATATTGTCCTTGTTGGTGGATCCACCCGTATCCCTAAGGTTCAGCAATTGCTTCAGGACTTCTTCAACGGCAAAGAGCTTTGCAAGTCTATCAACCCTGATGAGGCTGTAGCTTATGGTGCAGCTGTTCAGGCTGCAATCCTAAGTGGTGAAGGAAACGAGAAGGTCCAAGATCTTCTCTTGCTCGATGTCACTCCTCTCTCCCTTGGTCTTGAAACTGCTGGTGGTGTCATGACCACTTTGATTCAAAGAAACACAACAATTCCAACCAAGAAAGAACAGGTCTTCTCAACTTATTCAGACAACCAGCCTGGCGTTTTGATCCAAGTTTTTGAAGGTGAGAGGGCTAGAACCAAGGACAACAACCTCCTCGGTAAATTTGAGCTTTCTGGAATCCCTCCTGCTCCACGAGGTGTCCCTCAGATCACTGTCTGCTTCGACATTGACGCCAATGGTATCCTTAATGTCTCTGCTGAGGACAAGACCACTGGAAAAAAGAACAAGATCACTATCACTAATGACAAGGGTCGTTTGTCTAAAGAGGATATTGAGAAGATGGTCCAAGAAGCTGAGAAGTACAAGTCTGAGGATGAGGAGCACAAGAAGAAGGTTGAGGCCAAGAACGCTCTTGAGAACTACGCTTACAACATGAGGAACACAATCCGTGATGAGAAGATCGGTGAGAAGCTTCCTGCTGCAGACAAGAAGAAGGTTGAGGACTCGATTGAGGAAGCAATCCAATGGCTAGATGGTAACCAATTGGCTGAAGCTGACGAGTTTGAAGACAAGATGAAGGAGTTGGAGAGTGTTTGCAATCCGATCATCGCTAAGATGTATCAAGGAGGAGCTGGTGGTGAAGCTGGTGGTCCTGGAGCTGCTGGAATGGACGAAGATGATACTCCTCCTGCCTCAGGTGGTGCTGGTCCCAAGATCGAGGAAGTCGACTAAGTGTTCTCTTAGTTATTGTTTTTTTTTATTTGAACTCTCTCTATTTAGTGTTGGATTTTATGTTCTACTTTTTCTCTGATCTAAGTACTTTCTCTCTATTGTTTGGTCATTGGTGACCCTTTCTCTTAAAAACTTGGTAGAAAGCTCTCTTTATGAAAATTTCTTTACATGTCAGATTCACATAAGTGTGTTGAATTTTTCACAAAGCTTCGAAGAAATGGGATTAAACTACCAAAAAATGAGAGACGATAAAAGTACTACATCATGTTTGATGATCATAACATATGTTTTACTTTATTTACATAGAAACCTTTGTATAATATTTTTAGTTGTAGGCAATTTAGCCTTTTTATAAATAAAATAGTGTTACTAATCAAATAAAATTATGGTTAAATACAACTTGCTCAGAAGAAAAAAAACTAAAGTGAAAAAAGTTAATACTTAAAAACAGCACTTCTGCTTCTGCTTATGCTTATGCTTATTTTCCCATTGTACACAACAAAATGCTTCTACAAACACTTAAAACATGGTTGCATCTTTTATCCGAGGTGGTGTGACCGTAGACATACTCTAACCTCGTGTTCTTCCTCCACTCCTCCTCTCAATTTTGGAACCACAATCTCTAAAACTGGTCCAGTCCCATCAAAATATGCTTCAATGTTTGCTTCTTCCGGAATCCGATTTGGCAACTGTATCTCCCTCATGAATTCCCCTGGAGGACAATGCTCAGCCGTCTGATCAACCAGCTTGAAAGTCCGGTCCCGTCTCTTCACAAACGAAGCTCTCGAAGTGCTCAGTCCCGTGACCTTCACGATTCCATTTGTGATATTGTTCCTCCATGAAACCTTCACGGTGTTCAAATCAACAAATGGTAGAGTAATTACGACTAGATAAGCTTCTTCGTCCTCGTAGACGGTTTTTGCTGCAGTTACGGGTCCGCAGCTATTCTTCATAACTCCAGTGAAGTCGTTTACCCAACTGGGCGGGTCCTTGGCGTGGTGGGTCTCGATGTTGTTAACAGTCAAACAACATTCTTCTTCGCTGCTTCCAGGAGATAAAAACTCTTTTCTCTTTTTGTTGTTGATGACTCCTCCTGGAGATTGATCAGACGAGTCCCCATTGCTACTGAAAGACGCGTTGCTTGTCAAATGTAAGCCCGAGCCGTTGAGAATCTTCTTGGCGTTATTCTGTGCCGGTTTTGTAACATGAGCTGGTCTCTCTAGCTCGATATCTGTGTTGGGAAGATTTCTCCATGAACCGAAATCACTAGCATCAGGAGGGATAGTGAACTTCAAATCTCGACCCGTCAGCTCCATCCATCTCTTCTTATCTTCTTCGCTAACACCAAACAAACTCGGCGAAGCCACAAACTCAATCCCGTGAAGACACTGAGGATTAGAGAGTCCCCTGTAATGCTTCCTCTGCATTCTGTGAGACCGAACAAACCCTTTCTCCGCACTAAACGGAAACGGACGCTCACCTTGACGAGAATGCCCATTCATATAACTTCTCAACTGCATTTTTCCAAGCGCATTCTCGGGTTTATCCTTAAAAGCCCACATATACATGTTCTCCATATCATGCTGAACAAGAAAAACATCGAGCTTGAGATCAGATTTATCAAACCCAGTAAAACATCCTCCTCCTCCATTACTAGTTTCCCTAATGACCTTAGACTTCGATTTCTCATTCAACGCCGGTTTGAAGTAGAAGCTAAAGAAAAACCAAGCTCCCCACATACTATCCCCTCGTTTCAAGCATTTCTTAGCTACTTTACTCGGAACCACATTGAGAAACGTCTCGGTCTCATAGACATGAGAGCTAAGACCAACATCCAAAATGTTATCACAAGCATCTAAATTCCATGAAGGAGAGCTTCTTCCTACAGACAAAGGCAGATTAATGTCTGGTGGATTATAAAGAGTGATTTGCCGATTACCATTGTTCATCTCCAAATCAAGCTCTTCATGTGATGAACCACTAGAATCCATTGATAAAAGCGTTGAAGGATGATGATTCTCCATTGACAAACCAGTAAGAATTGAACCTTTCATTTTCAAAATCTGTAAGCTTGCTTTTTCTTCAATCCACCACAAGATCTCCCAAATCCCAGATCTCCCAATTAACCCACATATCGATTAAGATCCAAAATCTCGATTCCAGGAACAAACAAAAAAGACCTCTTTCAATCTCAAGAAAGATGAAGAGACTGCTAGAGGAAGACAATATCCAACCCTAACCCTAGAATTTCCCGAAATCCCCCAAAAAGCGGCGGGAAACTCCGACTCAAACCCATCCGAGAAATATACATATTGAAATTAAAAATCTTCCCTTTTTTCTTTGCAGTTACATTCAAAGTATCAGACTTTCAAGAACAAGAACCTCTAAGAATCTGAACCCAGAAAATACCTTTTGAGATAAGCAACAATGAATCGAGACGATGAGCTTGACGGGTTCCATAGTAGAGAACACAAAAGCTCCCCCATTTTCACTTATATTATCAAAATCCAATCTTTTTCTTCCTCACAAGATTGTTTTCTGTGTTTAGTGTTTGAGAAAGGTTCTCTCTTTTGGAAACGGGGGGAATGAGAGGTGTTTATGTAAGAAGAAGATTGGTTTAAGGGAAGGTTCGTGGCTGACTCAAAGATAAAAGAGAAGAAGGAGCCTGAACTAGATACCACCTGATCCCCACTCTCTCTCTCTCTCTCTATCTCTTTCTTTCTTAAGTATTATTTTTATAGGTTCATCTACAAATTAAACAATCTTTCTTTTTCTCTCTTTCAATTTTATACGTGCTTATCGTGGTGTTACATGTGCTTATCAAACAATATATTTTGACAACAAAAATTAATCAGAGAATAAATAAGTGTAGTTTTTATGTGTATGTAGTATATGATTTCTCGTTAGCATTGTATTTAATATGTCGTATGGTAAAAAAAAATGTTAATTAGAGAATAAACAAGTGTAGTTTTTGTATGTGTATGTAGCAATGGATGTTAATTATTGGAGCAAAAAACTCTTGTATGTGCTAGGTGTTGTTATTATTCTTGCTAGATGTTGTGGTTTATGTGGAGACATTGATGTTGATTAGTTGAGTGATATGATTACTAATCATAAAATATTATTTAAATCAATTGTAGTGACGAATTGCATTATTGTGCCCCCAGTGAGTGTAACAAAATAATATTTTATGTATAATTATTTATCCATTTGAAGTAGGATTATGCGTCATCTTCAGTGTTTAGTATCCAACGGCCTACGAATTTAATTAATTAATACAGCTTTGTTGACTAGCTAAGTGTATTATAAATTCTAAAACAATCGAATCAAAGGGTTTGAGGATAACTACGAGGACAACATATTTTAACCTTCTTTTTAAAAATACATTTTGAGTCAATTTTATAGCCTATTGATGTATTTCACCATATTTATGAAGGCGAGTTATGGTTGTGTTGTGTATAAAAAGTTTTGAGCAAACCAATGAAATAATAATAATAAAAATTAAATGAATATTTGGGAAAATTAAATAAATAGTCTATTTCTCTACTAGACTTCAGATGTTGAGACAAAAAAAGCTACGGTAACATTATTTTTGTTTAGTGCATGTTCAGTTCCTCAAGGGGCACTTGAACATTATAGAATAATATATTTACTGCGTTAGAAATAATTGTTTATAGTATGAAATAAACGAAAGTTGACAAAAAAAAAGACTAATTAAAGAATAGAATTAGTGAACCCAAAAAGAGAAGAAAGAATCAAACATGACTTTAAAAACTCAATAATTGAGATCTGAGAGGACATTGAAGATGACCCCAAAAAGATATTGGGAGTTGCCACCTCCCATCTCCAAAAACAACGACAGATATACAAAAAGCAAACAAACATTTAAATAGATCACACTATTTAATTTTTATAATGACCAAACCTGTATTTATAGATTTTGTGTACCTGACAACACACAGTAAATGAGTAAAATCAAAGTAAACAAATCAAATTTGAAGTTATATTCTTAGAAAATCTTATGATAGTAGTATATAGCTATGATAGAGGTCATTATGAGGAATTGATTAGTCCATACCGGTCTGATTAAGGTATACGAGGATGAAGCTATACATAAGGGTTAAGTTTTAGACTAATTATTGAATCCAAGGTAACAACTCTAACTAGTTAAAAATACACGCAAAATAATATAATTCAATATTCATAATTTCATATAGAGAAAAAAAAATGCAAACTCATCCACCAATCATGGAGAACAAGTGGGAAGTGCCAAGTGGTTGCAATTATCGTAAACATATCCCTTTTCAAACTTATTAAACCTTTTAATCGGTTAACAACTTGAATAAACAGTTTAACTGAAATTTGTCAAATACGAGTAGTTTTCAGTACTACGAGTACGATCATCGTATAAAGAAGAAAAAAAAAAAAAAAGGATTCAAGCAAATATATATTCTTTCGATCTAGTGAAAACGCAACGCAACCTTCTCACACGTTGCAGCACTACTAACGTGTAAAACTATAAGCATCTTGGAAAAAGAAATAAAAAGTAAATGAATATATTGAGTTTTTTTTGTTATATACTAGTTTACAAGTTGATGATACGGACCATGTCTTATATATAAGACGAAAAATCATAAACTTTATAAGCAAGCGATAATGTTTTCAATAACTTAAGTGCATACGTACCAAACATTTTCAAGATTCACTGAACTTAATATTATTATTATCTTTAAACAATTGGATCGAATACAAACACAACTGTCAACATATAATACAGAGACAAAATTTCATTATGTATCTGGTAACGTTATCATTATCAAAGAGTTAGTAATACGTGTTCGATTTTAGACATATAATAAGCCCAATGGGCTTAAAATTACAAAGAGTTACGAAAGCCCATTTTGATCCCCCGCCAAAGTTAAAAAACGACACCGTTGCGGTTGGGTTCGAACACAGAGAATGCGTGTGTTTTGTTTTTTGTTGAGCCCTTATGGCTTTTGATGGGCTATGATGGAGAATTCTATGGTTTTGTTACAGTTGTTGTTTATAGCGGGAACTCTCTCACCCAAAGTAATTTTCATCTCCGATTTTTTGTTGTTCGCGTCATTGTAATAAAAAGAGTAAAACCAAAACCCTAGAAAGAAAATCTCCATCTTTTTTTATTCCGCCATTGGAGGATCACTGGTTCGTCTTTGATCTTTTGAAACGGATTCGAGCTTTAACCTTATTTCTCTGAACTAGGGTTTCTTCAACATCGCTAGATCTCTAATCCACTGGTTGATGAATACCCATTTCATAATTTTGTTTAGCTTTTGGTAAAAAATTGAAATTGGAGCTGTCAACAACAATTTAGGGTTTTCCAGATTATGTGTCTATTGATTCATCGGTTTTAGTCAACGATTGATTCGTGTAGCTTAACTTGTTAATTGGTAAAATGTGTACAGAAGAAGAATGAGTATGGAGATGGAATTGTTTGTCACTCCAGAGAAGCAGAGGCAACATCCGTCAGTGAGCGTAGAGAAAACTCCAGTGAGAAGGAAATTGATAGTTGATGATGATTCTGAAATTGGGTCAGTTTATATTGTTGATTATTCTTCTTACTCACAAGTCTGTGGTTTTTTTACTTGGAGCTAAAATGTCTTTATTGGATTTGTCTTTAAAAGATCAGAGAAGAAAGGGCAATCAAGAACTTCTGGAGGCGGGCTTCGCCAATTTAGTGTTATGGGTCAGTGAATATCTCTCTCAGCTTAAACATGCCTGAATTGAAAGTTGTTTTGGTTTTGATTTAACTTCACATGTTTGTGGATTTTATCTCAGTTTGTCAGAAGTTGGAAGCCAAGAAGATAACTACATACAAGGAGGTATTACTCTCTTTACTCTACTAAGGAATTGATGAGTTGTTTATCTACGCCAAAGATTTGTTGTGGTCTTGGAAGTTTTCAATTTAAGATGCATTAGAATTGATCTTTATATGAACAAGTACTCACTTCAAGAAGCAATCTTCTAAGTTAGTTGTCGAACATTCTCTCAAATATTTCTTCTAATCAGGAGTCTTACTGCATTGTATCAGAAAATGTGAAAATCTATGTTTGAGACTCTCTGGCTCTTGTGATTCCAGGTTGCAGATGAAATTATCTCAGATTTTGCCACAATTAAGCAAAACGCAGAGAAGCCTTTGAATGAAAATGAGGTATAACGAGATGGAAAGCTGATATAATCTGTGTTAGTTAATTGAAAAGAAATAAAAGTTATAACAACATTCTCTTATGATCAATTAGTACAATGAGAAGAACATAAGGCGGAGAGTCTATGATGCGCTCAATGTGTTCATGGCCTTGGATATTATCGCAAGGGATAAAAAGGAAATCCGGTGGAAAGGACTTCCTATTACCTGCAAAAGGGATGTGGAAGAAGTCAAGGTTTAGCTTCTAAGCTTCCCCTTTTGATTATCTTCTATGTAATTGCTCTCTCTTCGTCTTCTCTACTGATCTTTCTACTCGTTTTTGCAGATGGATCGTAATAAAGTTATGAGCAGTGTGCAAAAGAAGGCTGCTTTTCTTAAAGAGTTGAGAGAAAAGGTGATCCTCTTTCTTTTTGATGAAAATTTAAGTGCAAGACTCCTTACAATTTGAGATCTTATTATGCATTTCAAGAGATGACAGTGGTTATTGTTATTGCAGGTATTCGAGAATTCGTAATCATCTGTCTACTTTGAATCTAGAATCCGTAGCTATGTCGTGTTTGAATCATTTTCTGTTGTCTTAATGAAATGTTAAACCGTCTTTGTACGTTTTGCTTATAATGTTCCTCAAATGTTATTGTCATCAGGTCTCAAGTCTTGAGAGTCTTATGTCGAGAAATCAAGAGATGGTTGGGAAGACTCAAGGCCCAGCGGAAGGATTTACCTTACCATTCATTCTACTTGAGGTACTCCAAAATCTCTTCTCGTCCTTATTTTCTGTTGCATGTTTTTCGATATCCTAATCGATTTCCATCTCTAATCTCTCTATAGACAAATCCTCACGCAGTAGTCGAAATCGAGATTTCTGAAGATATGCAACTTGTACACCTCGACTTCAATAGGTAGTAAACAACATTTCTTTTCAAAATCAAAATCTGTTTTGTTATCTCTTAAATCGGGATTAAAAATCTTCTCTTTTTCTTTCCCCCTCGATTTTGTCGTGAACAGCACACCTTTCTCTGTCCATGACGATGCTTACATTTTGAAACTGATGCAAGAACAGAAGCAACAACAAAACAGAGTATCTTCTTCTTCCTCTACACATCACCAATCTCAACATAGCTCAGCTCATTCTTCCTCCAGTTCTTGCATTGCTTCTGGAACCTCAGGCCCGGTTTGCTGGAACTCGGGATCCATTGATACTCGCTGACCGAGAAAACCAAGCTTCTATTCCCAAATTCTTCAAGAAGAAGAAGAAGTGATGATCTAATTGGTATACTAAAAAATTATACATCTGGTTTAGTAGTGTTCAATTGAGTCAGAGAGACTGTAAAATCAATTCATAGGCCAACAAATGTTTATCCAATTTTCCTTTTTATTCGAACTTCCATGTGATATTTCAACAGAAACCGATTCGGTTTAGTTTATCTGAGATTATTGTTTTTAAACCAAATCTAACCGTGTTGAATCTATTGGCTATGTTCTTTCTGTTTGATTGGTGTAACAAATTTAGTTTCCGGTTAGGTCCGTTTCCCGAAGCTAGTTAGATTCAATTTACGCGCTTAAATGGCGCGTGTTCTACGAAAATTCAAAATTACCAATTCCCATGCAAAAAACAAAAATTATTTCTGGAAAAGGAAAAAAAGAGACATCGCGGCGGTTCGAGGGAAAGAAAAGCGAAATTGGTTGGGGACACTTCGGAAGAATGTTGGACTGTTTTTCTATTAATTATTTTCATTGCCGTCAAAATAAATTCTATATACTATTATTTTCATCAACTTAATCTACTCATTTTCAAATATTTTAAATCATACGTATCATCTAATATTATTTAGTAATTAGTGTTGGCCCATTTAGTCCAAATTCCTCCCCCTTTAGTGATTTATTAATTAAGATAAGTGTCAAATTACTTAATTGATTAAAGTTGAGGTATATAGACGTACTAAAATTCAAAGAGGAAAATGTACCAAATCTTCTGTATATATTTTTTTTTGTCAAAGAAAATCTTCTGTATATATAAACACAGTTAAATACATAAGAACTTAGCTGACGAAAAATACATAAGAATTATTCTACATTTTTCAACGCCATTAATTTGAAACAAACCCTTTTAATAAAAAATATATGAATGTAGTTGAGAGAACATCGTTTATTTTAGTTAATTACTTGGTGAAACTAAGGAGAACTTTAGCTGATATAATCCATAAAAGCACTAGATATCAGCCCTAATTATATTGTCTTATATATAGAAGAACTCAGATGTCACAATTGCAGTTTTTCCCTTGAATACTACTAACATCACCTAGATCCAATCCTAACGTTTATCATCTTTTATTTTGTTTAGATATTTTTCATGCTAATAAAAATGTTTCTAAAGGTCGTGACATACATCAATATATTCTCGTTATTGTGGTGGTATCTTTTTATATACACAAAATTAAATAAAACAAATTGTTATGATTTTTACTGACTTGGGAGTTTAAACCACACAACCAGTCAAGATTAATACTTTTTCTAATATATATACATATAATTTGCACACACAGTACATAAGTAGCAGTATTGCCAGAAAGAGAGAATCAGAAAGAAACTTATGAGTTAAGCAATTGGACACACTCACTCTCCTCCACCTTCCCAAAACCCTAAGCAAATATGTATATAATATATAAAACAAAAAGAGCCTCGCAATAACACTGTGGACACACTCAAATCATATTTTACTCATCTATATATATTTAATATAATATTCAAACATATTCCATATATATGTGTATATGTGTGGGTATGTATATATATGAATAAAGGTTCTTCCTTTACCTTTGCCTTCTCTCTCTATCTTTCTCCAAGCTCTCATCTCCTCTTCTTTTCTCTCTCTAAAGCTCTTCCCTTTGTTTTTATTGATGTGATTCTCCACTTCTTCATATAAGCCTTCACCAAAAAAAAAAACCAACTTTAGTTCCTTTATTTGCTCAAAAACAAAACAAAACAAAAAAAAAAAACTAAAGAGAGAAGATATCATCAAAGAAGAAAGATCGAAGATGGTTTTTACTTCATTTCCTACTTATCCTGATCATTCATCAAACTGGCAACAACAAGTAAGTTCATGATCCGATTTTCGCTTCTTTTTTTCTTAATGGTTTTTTTTTGGGTTTCTTGGTTTTATAATTTATGAGTACTCAAGACCAATTTAAAGAAAAAAACATAAAGAGAGATTAAACAAACAAGAAAAGAGGATAATAATATTCTTGTTCCTTTTGTCACTTTTAATCTTTGTATATCTGTGGTTGAATTTGAATATACTCATAAAATTAATTCTTTCTTTCCTTCTTTATTAATTTTTCACAAATTTTAATAACTTTTGTGTTGTTTTTGAATCATTTCTTCCTCTCTTTAGCATCAACCAATCACAACCACCGTTGGATTCACGGGAAACAACAACATCAACCAGCAGTTTCTTCCTCACCACCCCCTCCCTCCGCAACCGCAACAAACGCCTCCGCAGCTTCACCACAACAACGGTAACGGTGGAGGCAGTGGTCCCGGTGGACCTGGCGTGTTAATCCGTCCAGGTTCGATGGCGGAAAGGGCAAGGCTAGCCAACATACCACTGCCTGAAACAGCCTTGAAGTGTCCAAGATGTGACTCAACCAACACCAAATTCTGTTACTTCAACAACTACAGTCTCACTCAACCTCGTCACTTCTGCAAAGCATGCCGTCGTTACTGGACACGTGGCGGTGCTCTAAGGAGCGTTCCCGTCGGTGGCGGTTGCCGTAGAAACAAAAGAACCAAAAACAGCAGCGGTGGAGGTGGAGGTGGCGGTAGCACCAGTAGCGGTAACAGCAAGTCACAAGACAGCGCCACGAGCAACGACCAATACCACCACCGAGCCATGGCTAACAATCAGATGGGACCACCGTCTTCTTCATCTTCTCTTAGCTCGTTGCTGTCTTCTTACAACGCAGGATTAATCCCCGGACATGATCATAACAACAACAATAACAACAACAACATACTTGGACTTGGATCATCTTTGCCTCCTCTCAAGCTCATGCCTCCTTTAGACTTCACAGACAACTTCACCTTACAATACGGTGCCGTTTCAGCTCCTTCTTATCATATAGGCGGTGGAAGCAGCGGTGGAGCGGCGGCTCTTTTGACCGGTTTTGACCAGTGGAGATTCCCGGCAACAAACCAACTTCCTTTAGGTGGTTTAGACCCGTTTGATCATCAAATAGAGCAGCAGAATCCGGGTTACGGATTAGTTACCGGGTCGGGTCAGTACCGACCTAAGAACATTTTCCATAACCTTATTTCCTCTTCTTCTTCTGCTTCATCAGCTATGGTTACAGCCACCGCGTCGCAATTAGCTTCAGTGAAAATGGAAGATAGTAACAATCAGCTCAACTTGTCTCGACAACTTTTTGGAAACGAACAACAGCTCTGGAATATTCATGGCGCTGCTGCAGCATCCACCGCAGCCGCAACAAGTTCGTGGAGTGATGTCTCTAATAATTTCAGTTCTTCTTCTACTAGCAATATCTAATCAATCATATCTCTCTAAGGAATCTATATGTGATGATGATGATGCTTTTATTTATTTCTCATTGGGTGTGGTATGATCTTATGTACTTAGTTTGAAGTTAGTACATCGATCGATCTATATACTAGGTTTTTGTTTTTTTCTATTACATTTTCGTTACTAGTTTTGGGTTTTTTTTTTTGATATCTTGGTTGGTGTTTTAGGTTTAAAATTAGGGTTTTTTTCTATTGCAAATTTATTTTTCATTTTTTAGTATGAAGGTATGATCATACATGCGTGTAATGTGTTCTATTATATAACATATTTTTATTTATTCAAAATATTGAATGAGGTTATGTATACATATCCTCCTGTTGCTTTTTTTTTTGTTTTGTCGAAATCTCTAACCAACTTAGATTGCAGCACATAAATCAAAGTATTTCTGTCGCAGCAGCTATAAGTCTATAACCATGATCCATATCACTAGCTACGAGAAGACATAATATTAAGACTGCATTTTTTTGTTGGAGTTGAGAGAAAATATTTTTTAAGTATAACTATGAAAAAGAATGACACATTTTAACACTTAGAATTATAATTTCTCAAAACTAAAATGGAACTTTAAGTTGGTGACCTTTAATTTCTGTCACAAAATTATCTATTATAATTTATGATATTAAAAAGAACATTACCAGTTTTCTGATTATTCACCTAATATAAAGACTCGATTCTACTACGTACATGTGACTTGTAAGTATTTTATGTTTCTTTTTAACATATGATATGAACTATATGTCATTACCAAATATTGTGGAGAGCTTTTGAGTCTAGTATCTCATAAACAAATTAAAACTATAGTTTATGTAATCGGTCCAAATTCCGCATAGTTTTCTGATTATTCCATTTTTAAAATTATAGAGTCTTTTACGGAATACTTTAATTAGACTTTTTGATGATTTTGATGTAAAGCAAAGAAGAATCTATTTGAGACTTTATCTACAAGCTAGCTATTAATTTGAACATCTAACTAAACTACGTATCCTCGAATTCGTAGGTATTTTGAACTAAAATTTCCATTTAACACGCATTACTACAACAATGAAAATCTGGTATATATGTCATCACATATGATTTTGTAACAATTATATTCATGACATATATACCAGATTTTTGAAAACATGTGATGATTTCTATATCTACTAAGATTATATTTGAATAAATGTTTTGGGGTAAAACAAAAATTAATAGGAAAACGTAATATATATATATATATATATATATATATATATATATATATATATATATATATATATATATACATTGGTAGTGATTAATTTAGAATGATGGTAATGGTATATTACCTTGTTCTTATTGCATCAATCATAGTGATTATATAATGATATGGTGCAGAACAGATTACTTGAAGTAATTAAGGGACAATGATTTCGTTATGCTCTGCAAAGGAACGTTCTTTGTGACTCCCGAGAAATATTGTCTTGCTGCCTAATTAATTTATTTTTATTCACTATTTAGACCATCTACTATAAAATAGTATTTCTAAATAAAGTTCATTATAAATATACGTATATGTGTAGTGGAGACCAACCCGCTAGGCCGCTATATACCATAAGATTAGTTTTGCGCAATGCATGCATGAGCATGATCGTCGATAATGCATATCGGTTTCGAAAACGACAAAACAAGATTTGTCGACAAAAAATAGAATCATCTATTCATCTTATATATAGCAAGGATAACAAATGTAATGATAAATTATTATAATGTGTGTGTCAAAGTACAAAGTATGAAAATATTGCTATTAGTTTAGTACCGTAGTTAAATTAATAAGGAAAATAAGTATTGATTAACATATGAATAATATTAGTTTTATATATTTTATTTTGTGAACAACGATTTTAGAGGAATGGTGCTTTATCAACTAGAAGACAAATTTTGGAGTTTTAAATGATAAAAAACACTGGATAACATCGATAAGTTGTATAATACAGGCTATCTTTGTGTAATTCTTTTTTTTCTTTGTGTAATTCTTAATTAGCACATAACAATTAAAATTGAGGAAACTTCCAAACTATATATATATAAATTATTAAGTCTAAAGTATACCGTACCTTCTATCCAAGACGTCAATTGAATTTAACTGAATTGGTTGTTAAAAAAATATACGAGTGATTAATAATGTAATATGACTTCAATCGTTTTATAAATATCACTTGTGAAAATTCGAACAATGACAACATGAATTCATTTTCTTAATTTAGTGTAGTTCTAGTTATAAAGATTTTAAAACATTATTAAAGGTAATTAACTCTATTAGTACTACGAACATAAAATATAATATTTCTTGAAAGAATTTCAGATAGATACTGTAGTAAAAGAGACTGAAATCTAACGTAGTAAACGACGACCGAATCAATGTCGGGACAATGAGCAAGAAAAACGACGCGCCTTGGGAGAGAGCAAGAGGCTCGTGACCGTCACGGACCACTAGGCGACAAAAGTAACGGTGCGTCAGGGAGGTGGGAGCCCACGCGCAAGAACCGAGAGATTCGATCTTGAAATTACACGCGCTTCGATGCACGCGTGAGAATTTGAGCCCAAAACAAAATCCCAAACTCTGTACTTCTGTTTTTTTTGGTTACATGTGACTGACAACTAAACCCTCTGTTTTTACACATCACCAACTTTTTTATTTTTAACAAAAATTTACATTTTACAATATCTAAAATACCTATACTGTTTATTAAAGTATTTTTTTGTTAAATTATTAATTTAAATTTCAGTAAATGTATACAACTTAATTTTCCTTTAGTTGCAAGTCTATATATTGACTTTTTCAAAGAAAAAATATATTGGCAAATGTAACGCTTCAATTCCGTAAGGAAAGGGTATATATATATATATATGTCTCGATCTTTAAATTCAACAAGTTCTTAGTACAGCCAATCATAGGATAAGAAAACGAATGGTTGGAATTATGTCCATTTTATCTTCATGGTCGTATACTCAGTTTCATAAATATTTTATTCGTATCGAAGTCTTAGATTCGGTCATAGGCTATGACTCATAGTCATAACATAGGTAGTAAAATTGGTACAAACCAGTCCTTGAAGGCGGACCAGCGAATCTTTTTTTTTTTTTTTTTTGATAACCCAGTATCCAGACCACACAGTGATCTGACTAGCCCACTGGGCCTAAGCCCGCGTCACAGGGATTTTTTAAGCCTCCACTTAAGGGCCCCCTGATAAACTGGTGGTCTGGGGCGCCTGAGCAAGTCCGCAGGTAAATTTCCAGGTGGCCACAGGAGTGAGAGAGCGAAACTGCGTCTGGGGAGGATCGATCCCTGGCCTAGACCAACAGGGCGATCCTTCCAACCAAACGAGAACCACTCTCCCACCACCATGTGGTTGGACCAGCGAATCTGAATAATGTTTTTCCAAATTGGGATATTATAGGTAACTATTTGTTGAGGATAATAAGAATTACATATCAAGGCCACGTGGAAAAAGATGATACACACGTATATGCGAGTCTTACAAGTTTAAAGTTGTTTGGTGCTAATATTCAGTATAAGAACATTAATATATGTACTTCATAAAATTTAACAATGAAAACTACTTGTCACTACAAGTCTAGCGCATGGAACCTTCTTGGCTCAAAAATCCAAGCCGGATCTGTACATTATAGCATCATATATTACATTTTTTGCACCCGCAAAAATAATTTATGCAAAAAAATGCCTCCATGTATAGTTTTCTGTGAAGATCATTCTCTCTTTACAGTAACTTCGCAGCTTTTACTTTTCTGAGACTAATTCCTTGGCTTGACTGATCTCGTTTACTCATTAATAGTGTGACAGTGTAGTGTTGTGGTACTTGGACTTAAGGCTCCAATTGGTAATATAAAAATATACCGAAGTCTGTGCAAGGATAGTTGTTGTAGAATGGAGTGATAGAATCAATGAAATATATTGTATTTTCTTCCATAATTTTATAATGATGTAAGATTGGTAAAATTCCACATTGTGGTATGCTATCCTGCGTATTAGTAGTAATGTAGCATCGACCATGATTCAAATATTCAATTACGTGAATATTTCTAGACTATGAGTCTATGACCTATCTAAAGTACATGTGATGGATATTTAGTTGTCCTACGAAATTTTCTAACTAAGATGAAAATTCCATTTTAGTGTGCCCTCTCTCTAGCTATCTAGCTAGTCTTTGCCAAAATTTTATTTCTGTTATTCCCCCATTATAAATTTTGGCCAACCTAAAAAAAAATCAATGAGGGTCCCTCAATTTGGGACCTTTTTGATATGGCTAAGTAAAATTGTCGACGATTTCCTTAGCAACGTTATGCAACTCCTACGCCTACAATTATCATTACCATTGACAATCTCCCGCTAATTAGCTCCTATTGTATACATTTTTTTGTTAATCTAATGATTATAGATATAAACAATTAGTAACAAATATTGTTAATTACATTACTATTGTTGTGTTCACATACTAGTTAAATTATTAGATAGGTCCTTCCATTTCGTCAAATAAAATTAACCAATAAATTTTAATCATTCATATAAATTTATCTTTGTCTGTTTACTGGTAAAAGAAGTTTTCTTTTCTTTTTGTTCACTTGTCCCAATCGTTGCCCACAATCAAGGCGGGGCCTTAGGTTAGTCACCACTTTTACGTTCAATTTCTCACATATTTGACGTCACAATGGATTAATATATGTGATTGGTACATGCACCAATCATTTTCAAATTTGTACAACAATTTGATTTCCTTTAATAACACAAGCCATGCACCTCAAGTTGCTTTCCTTTTTAACTTGACCAATCACTTAGAACCACATTTAACACACGTACTAGATCCTGACCCGCACATACGTGCGGGATTTCATATTTTAAGAAATGTGTTGTAATAAATTTTTATTAAATATATGATTATTTTGTTGTTTTAGTGATATATATTGTATTGAATAAATTATAATGTACACAGAAAAGTATAAAATGTTATTTATGTTTGCTTATGACACAATAGCAACCATAAGTCATTTTTTGGAGTTTGAAACTGAAGAGTAGATTAGAAAAAAATCTTAGATTGAAATATAATATAAGTTAGATTGATGTAAAAAAAATATTATATAGTTATAGTATATTCTAAAATTTAGTTATCATTTAAACTCTAATTAAATGTTAAATATTTTAATCTATCTTGGAAATATTTTCTAGATATTTACAAATTTAGAATCCAAAAAATTAGTTTTTGAATAAGCTGTATTTTAAAGGATGGAAGTATTTCGTTTAGATTATATACGACAAATATAATAAATGTTTTTTCATATTTGGAAAATCAAAATTGAAAAATCTGTTTTCCATGTGTACCAATCAGAATTAATTAGCATAGTATTTGTTAAGGAAAATTTTAAAAATCTAAACGAAATGATAATTTGTTATTAGATTAGATTGTCATTTTCGAAAATATCTAATAATATCTTACGAAAATAATTTAGTTTACATATATGCAATTTCGAATTAAATATACACAATTACCCGTTTCGGTTTATTAATTTTCCTTCTTCAAATTTAAAAATATCAATGGCATTTTTTGTAATTATTTACCTTTTATAAGGTTATATTTTATCCAATGCTTCCCAATTAATAGTATAAATCTACACTATTAATATCATAAACTTTTTATAGATTGGTAACATCGTTGATAAATATTTATCGTTGCAAAATTGATAATATCGTTGATAAATATTTATAATTTTAGTATTTACCAACCCGCAAATATTTAATTTTATTTAAAAACATATTATTTCTATTATTAATTTAGTTTAGTTGCTAATAATTTAGTTTAGATTTTATTGTTAAAATATTTTGTATTTTTTAATTAATGACATTCGATTTATGTTTAATTTTTTTGTTTTATCTCTAACAAATTGAAAAATACAAAATATTTCAATTTATATTCGAAATAAATATATTGATGCTGAATATTCAGTTATTATTTAATATTTAATGTTGTTTCCTTTTTTGTGTTTGTAGACAAATCATACCAAAAATATTGACGAAGCAAATCTCGGAATATATTGGATAATTTAATCTCGTTATTTGTTTTTGCAAAAAATTAATGAAGGATCCGAATCAAATATATTTATTTAGTTGTAGTAGTTGTTTATTTACTAAATTACCCATGTAAAAATTCATTTAGTTAGTCTTAAACTACCCTCACAATGTTGTAGTTCACAAAATGCTTCTCAATTAATAGTATAGATGTGTACCAACACATATCCATAAACGTTCATATGTTTCTTTTTTTTGTTACAAGGATAATTTCGTCGTACCTTATAGATCAGTCTATATTTTATTTTTTTTACCTATAAAAAAAAAGATCGGCCATGGTGGGCGATAATAGATGATTGTGACGGATGATGATGACTGCCCATAAAAAGTTGCTTGGCCCTTAAGAAAACACACGAGGCCTAATAAATCATCACATATTAATATAGTATATCACAATATCATAACTTTGTGGACCGATTATGCTTAGCTCACCACTTAGAAAGATCAACAACATTTTCAACTTTCAAGCACATCAACATCGATTAAGCAAAATGATCATTGTAACGAATATTTGAAATCTCCAAGTAGGACCAGACGTAGCCATACCCGTAGACAAGTGGCTCATAAGTCATAATGGTTTCGTTTCAACATTTAATAATCTCTGCTACAAAATATCCAAAGGAAACATAAGGCAAAAATACTAAAAACAGAAAACTGGTTTTTCGAAGAAACAGAGCGCTGAACCAGAGTCACTGCATCACTTCTTCTTCTCGGTTGCACCACCACCACCAGACCTGCAAAGAAACAAAAACCAAGCGGAATCAGCAAGTAGAAAAACATTACATAATGAAGGAGCAAAGTCTTTTTAGTTAGATGCATAATGAATGTTTAGTTTGATAAGAGATGAAAAAGAGACCTCATCTTGCGGAGAACACTAGACATCTCCTCTCTCTTTCGCTTAGCTCTCTTGTGAGTTCCCAACTTTCTCTTGGCAACTTTAAGAGCTCTCTTGTCTTTACCAACCTTCAAAAGCTCAGTGATCCTCTTCTCATAGGGAGCTTGACCCGCAACTTCCTTGATGAGACTCCTGATAAAAAGAGTCCTTTTGCTTGTTTTCTGGTTACAAAATACTCATATCAGAAAAACCCTCAAATGACATAATGAAAAGACAACATTCGACTTCAAACGGAGACAGACTACCACAAAATGAACAAAAACAAATAGAAAGAGTGTACAATAGGCAAATCAGATTTTCAACAAGGCCACTAAGAATCATATACACAAACACAACATACTGTGATAAAGACATGAAGACAATAACTTAATCCCTTCTATAGTTTCAATAAATATGTAGTGATAGCGATTCCATTGTTTTGTTTTCCTATTAGCCTCAATAAATAGAGTGAATAAAGCAAGGAATGGAAGCTATCCTAATATTGGTTTTTCTTCTAAAGCTCATGATCTGGACCTAATCTCCTACTATGAAAATTAAAATTCTATCTAACCAATCACAGAAGTTAAAATATGGAACTATGTAGAAGAAAAAAGAGCTAAAGATTAAGAAACATTAGAGATTACCCCTTTTCTGTTGTTAGGGCGAGGAGGTTGCTCGCGTTTGGTAACAACGTGTCCTTTGTTTAGCCCCACGAATAAGCCAGTGGCCACCATTTTCTCTGCAAAAATTCAATAATATGACTAAGATACGAAGAAGAAATTCTCAGATCTACTCTTGTATGCGATTTTCTGTTAGAATCCAAAGCTATGTATTCTAATATCATCAGCTCAATTACAATATCGATTCTACGGACGAACGATTCTCAAAAAGGATTCATAAAGAAATCGCTATGTACTCTAGCAGTAGTAGTAACTCGTGAAGATTTGTCGATTTCACAACTTTCACACTAATCGATAGAGACTAAGTATGAAATCGATAAAGCTAAAAGATCTGATGATCACTCACCTGAGTTTCAATCTCTGAATGCGCCGCCAATGAAGTCGAAAGAGAAAAAGGATTGTGAGAGAAAATCGATTTTATAGTCTTCTCCAAAATAAAGGAATTAGGGTTTAGTAATTTCCTAGAGGTTCTTTCTATATTTCCAATTATACCCCTACCATTGGGCCCAAACGAAATAGTTTGTTAATTGGGCGTTTTCTATAAATGGGCTTCATTATAAGGAATTGTTTCTATTTTTATTGGGCCTTTTTAAGATACGAAATTATGTCTCTTTCAATAAGGCCCAATAAAGATATATTGATGCAAACGCATGCAAAGAAAAATGTTTTTGATCATTTGAAACTCAGATACAAAATAATAGTACAATCAGAATCTGTTGCGTCAGACCATTAGGAAATCATATTACACATCTCACTATCGTTTAAAGGCACAATTGGCTATTAATTCTTGGACATTCACATAGTCGGTGTGGACCGTATGTTTGATCCGACGGCTCGTCTCTCCACCATGAGGAAGTGTCCAAGAGACTGCACATTGTTACGACCATCATTGTCTTCGTTTATAATCCTGTTATGCGAAATGACAGTGGCGTTTGTGCTTAGTTTTGAACATATAGAGAAAATCCATGGCTTGTAGTAAGTTTTGAGATTCTTCTGGTGTTGATGGTTTCTAGCTGCAACACTTTGATCATTCCTTGTTCGGTTGGATCTTCTTGAAAATTCAAGAAAGCTTGATATCCCGATTAGATTTCCTAGTGTGTAGCTCCTATCGCGGAAAAATGATCCCATCGACTGACAAAAAATAGATGTGTAACATGCTTTATTTAGTGTATATATATACGGACTTAAAAAAAAAAAAATTGAGACAACATAATCTCAAAGTGGTTGTGAAATTGTGATTTTTGCTTCACAAGAGGTCAATATTTGAATTGTGATGGTGAATGGTGACCAAAAAGAGAAAATTAAGTATAAACAAAAATCTGTTGCAGAACCAAATATTTAAAGTAAAATGCCGAAATCATCAGGTTTAAAACATAATTTATTTGTTAAACTGCATAATGAATGACAGAACCTCTTGTTTTTATAATTATAAAATTGGCTGAATGACAGAAAACTGAACACAAATTTTCAAATTTTGCGTGAATGAAAAAAAAAAATTGCGTGTAATCACAGTTATTCTCTTCGGATTATAGGTAAAATTGTCAATGATTTCACTTTTTAATATGGTGTGATCAAAAGACAAAAGGTGCCAATATATTTGAGAAATTGCTTTGATTATTATTTTATAGTACTACTATAACTTTATTTTGAGAATCAACAATTTCCGACAAACGTGCCCTTTTCAGACAAAACCATCACAGCTTTAAAGTGCATACAATTGGTTCACGTTCGCTCTGAAGTCATCTCAACCAACAACAACAATACTATTTTAGAATTTTCATTTTAATAAACTAAAAGAGAATGTGAATTCAATAGATCCAAACTAGTAGTCAAAGTAGAATCATTGTCTTCCTTCTAAATTTCCATGAGAAGAAAAAAGAACCGTAGACAGTTTCAAACGGCTCATCAATTAATATGCAAGAAAACGAAAAACAAAGATAAAAACTGAAATAAACTATTTTATCAAGCAAAAAATATGACTAATATAATTAAAATAATTCATTGATCTATCCGAATATGGAAACAAAATATGAAATTTTGGAGGGATGTGTAAAGGATTCAACCAAGAAAAGAATCTGCCAAAACCCGTGAATAGTTTACTATATACTCCTATATAGTCTATCTATGAAATGTGGTAAGTGTGTAAGCATATATTTATGTTATAAGTAGAGAGAAGTGTATATCTGACCTGAGAATCAAGATCGGAGGAAGAGTGAGATGAGGGAGAAGGAGAGAGAAGAGAGCTGAAGGAGATGGAACCAGCAGAGACTTGTTCATGATGATTATGGTGATGATGATGAGTTCCTCTTGTGAGTCCTCCGATTCTTGCATTTACTGGTCTCAGACCCAATGGCCATCCTTCCTCCTACATAATCACATCCATTACACATGGTGTATACATATCTATATGTATGCGTGTGTATATAAAGGCTATTGTGTTAAAGAGCGAGAGAGAAAAGAAAGAAAGAAAGGATTAAGAGTATACCTGGTGAGCCATTGAAGTTTTGAGACTCAAAGGGAGAGATTTGGATGAATAAACTAAGGAACAAAAGATGTCGCTAATGAAGAAAGAAAAAATGATTTGTTGTACATACTTTTTGGAGAGAGAAGACTTGATTTATTTTATTTTGGTAATTAATCAAAACTCGAAGAGATTATAAAAAATGAAAAGAATTGGCTTCGCCCGGGTTCGAACCGGAGACCTTCAGTGTGTTAGACTGACGTGATAACCAACTACACCACGAAACCATTTTGACTATCGCTTACAATTTTACTGTATTCCATAGTACTGAAACATAGTAATAACACTGGTTGATAATGTTAATGGTTGCATCGATAACTTTCTTATTTATAGTTTAATTTAGGAAAATCAAGGTTTATATCAATGTTTAGTTTGATATTGTTTGGAGCCTATAATGGTACGAAGTTTTGGTTATCAACTTGAAATTTCAGGTTTAAATTAGGTTTTTCGCTATAATGTCGTCTACATTGAATAATAAACACATGAAAAAAATTATTTGAAAATAAAGAAACACTAGATAACAGCCCGCACTATGTGCGGGATAAAGTGATTTAAGTAAAATTATTATGATTAAAATTATTATCTGGAAATTGGAATCCAAGATCCCTTTGTGTAAAATGAAACATGTAATAATTTTTTTTTTTTAATTCAAATTTGGGACTATTTCGTATAAGAATACTGTACGTTTCACCCGTGAAATATTTAAACCTGGAATAAAGCTTCAACGTGATAAAAAAAGTATTGACGAAGATTTATATAAATGTATATAAAGAAAAATATAAATGTAAAGATTTATTAATATAAGATAAACAAAAAGTGTATGTTTTTCAATTATTAAAAAATAAATCATTAATATAAATAAACAAAGCTCTCGTGATTTTTTATTAAATATAGATATGAAGATTAGTTGCCTAATTATTTGCTTTTTAGTTATAATTTCGTTTTTTATTTGTGTGTATATATATATATTAAGACTAATGGTAAAATCTGTAAATAATCTAGTAAAATTTGGGTAATAATTTAAAAGGGTGGAAAATCACTCTGAAAGCGACACGTCAGCATGGCAGTTTAGTTAATAACACGTCAAAGTAAGGTTTATTTTTTAGAGTGCTTCTCTATTAATATATAAGGGATAGCATGTATGATGTATACTTATAACGTAGAGTATCGTTACCGTTAGAAGCTCGAAATTGAGAAAAGGAGAAAAGAAATTGGTATGGACAAAGACCATATGCTTCGTCCAATGTACCTCGAGAGACAAAACACTTTATCCTTTTTGGACCACATCATTCTGTTTTGTAAGCTTTCTATTTCTTTCTTGTTAAAAATTGGGTTCAACAATCTTTTTTTTTTTCCGCCATGTTTGGGTTCAACAATCAACATACAAAATGTTCAAAATAACCAGTTGATTCTAAACTCGTTGTAACGGTTTTACATTCTTCTAAGTTCTAGTTTTAAACTAGTGATGTGTCAGTCAGCAAAGCCCATGCTAGCAATAGCATGAGCTCGTATGGACATGCTTATTTTTGTAGTCCAACACCGAAACTATAATAAGTTTGAGAAATAAATAAAAGTAAAAAAGAAAGCATGAAAGTTCATGTACAAACTCTAAATCTAATTTAGTTTTGATGGTGTGAGCACGTTTAGACTATTTGGAATCCAAATTTTGGATGTATCTTATCTTCATGCGGTAAAGTACTTGACTATTTGAGTGTGGGTGTGAGACTCTCTATACGGTAAAGTGGCTCTCGCATCATAATATAGAGATTCAAGTCCCTTCTTGTTTTGTGACTATACAGTATACAAATTAAACACAGTATGACTATGCATGAATACATGAGAACTATACATAATACACCGTATATATGTACAATAATTGAGCGCGGTTGTGTCAAAACAGAGAGCCTTGACGACCAACCCTGCGGGGCAATCCAAAATTTTGGTAAGCTCGGATTTGGCCCTTGATCGTGGCTGTAACGATCACCATTCCCCAAGCTGTTGGCTGAACTGAATGTGTTCCATGACTGCCACTACTATCAAACCAAGACCAAGAAGAAATCCTAGAGGAGATTGATATAGAAGGTGAATCCCCATGCTTTAATGACTCTCCTGTGTTGTTCTCTGCTTCGTTTTGCGGAATCTGCGTTGCGGGATCATCTTCTTGATGTTGTTCTGTTGCTCCATCTGCGGTGCCGTCATTGTTTTTCTTAGGTAACGGTGGGAGGCCTGATTTTTTACTCGTGGTCGCGTTTTCCGGGGTAGTTGTAGTGGTAGTTGAATTTTTTTTCGGGTTTCTTTTTGACTGGGTTTGTGTGGATGGTGGTTCACCTTTTACAACGCCGTTCCACGGGATTGCCACGGAAACATCTTTGCACGGGAAGGTTTCGTAAGAAGTACACATGGTGACGGTTTTTCTACCGGTGATTCCTAGTCGTGGCTCCTCGTGTTTCCACACGTAAACCTGTGAGTCTTCGCTTGCACACACAATGTGCTTAGCATCTACTGTGTAAGATGCTGTCATTTGACTGTTAATGTTTTTGAAGCCTGGTTTATGTATCAATAGGAGATTTAGAAATGTTAGTTTGTGAAATGGAACGAAGAAGCAAATGGAGTTGTTTCAGTTACATACCTCTGAATTTTTGAACAAGTTCAGTACCGTCAAGAATCCGAATGCGTGAATCAGCAGAAGTTACAAGCACTTCTGCTGGATTAATTGGCGAAAACTGTTATATGCAAACTCAATGGTAAGTAAGTATCTTCTAGAGGCAAAAAACAACAATGTACACGTTTTCAAAAAAAAGAGTGAAACCTGGAAGGCTGTGATCTTTTTAGCTTGAGCTTTCTTTTTGTTTTGCAGATCTATCTGGTTTGTTTGTTCCAACTTGCAATCTGATCAATCATTGGAGAATAAAAAATTAGAAGAGTCTATTAACTTTATGAAGAATTAAGGTTAATAGACATGGTTTACAAATTAGAATGAGTCTTGAGCAAATATACCCTCTGCACTGTAAAGCCGGCAATTCCCATTAATTGAACCAACAAATGCAGCCTACCAAAGAGCAGAGAGATATCAATACGAGCTCGTTAATGCAAGTATATGCCGGTGACAATTTCAGAGAATTATGTACCTGACCATCGGGAGTATAACAAACCGCGGTAACCATTTCCTTTAAATCATTCCACTCAACTACTTGACGGTTTGATATGTTCCATATACGGATCTTGGCATCAAGGGAGCCACTAATGAAGTAATCTTCATCCAATGGATTGAATTGTACACAAGTCACTATAAACCATAGAGTAAGACATAAATCTCCCAAAACCATATGAAATTTAAAGAATGTGAGTATTGAAATATATTTCCTTTCTTACCATAGTCATTGTGAGCAAATAGTTTTAGACAACTTTGAGTTTCAATATCCCACAACCGCACAGTTTTGTCCATGGAAGATGAGAGTAATAGCTGTGTATATATGGCAACCAATGATTAACTATGTCAAAAAAAATTCATGGCTGCTTTCATTAATGTTGGCAAGAAAGGACCATAAACTAACCTGTGACCGAGACCAGGATAAGTCCAGAACATCATCCAAGTGACCAGTGAAAGAGCAAACTGGTTTATCTGACAATGAGAACACAGTTTCAGGCGCGTGGACATAATCTGGTATCTGGTTTCCTTTTTTACTCGTTGAAGTTTTTCCTTTTTTCTTCTTATCCTGTGACACTTCTGCAGCATCACCTTCAGTAGACGATTTATCTGCGGAACCAGACATTGAAGGATGAATAGGTGTCAAGCTCCCTTCATTCATTGACATGATTTCACATTCTTGAACCTCCCACACATGGATTGCACAATCCTCCCCTGCACTTGCTAATAAATGTGAATCTGGACTAAATTTCATAGTCCAAATACCTCCTTGATGAGCTTGAATCTCTTGACACATATGCAAAGCACTTAAATCTTTATGAGACTTCCCTGAATGTCTCACTTTCACCCATTGATTCGCCTGCTCATTGTTCTTCTCCGCTACTTTTGGACTACTTGTACCACTACCAGTTGAATCCTTCTCTTTCTCTGAAACCTTAGAAGAGCTCATAGAATGAGCAACGTCCTTTATGTTCTTTAACAAAGCAGCTCCTCTCTTCTTACTTACTCTCAAACTCTTTGACACATACGAATTGAATTTCCTAAAATCCATCGTCGAATTCGCGTTCTCTCGTCTCATAAGATCCTTAACAACAGATGAATATCCAACACTTTTCTCAAATTCTTCCATTGTCAATTGCTTACCAGTCTGCAAATCACTAAGCCGATTCCACATTCCATTCTCACCATACTCCTTCACAATGAACTCTTTCCCAGTGTCAAGATTCTTAATCAAGAAAAAAGCACTAAAACGAGTATTCGAAACTACCGAAGAGAGCAACGCACCACTACGTTGGCCTTGAGACTGATGACCGTTTGGTGCGTCCGGCGGCGAGGCTTGCGTTTGGGTGAAGTATGGACAAATCCTCGCACACGGAGCTCCAATCGCAGACGCGGTTCTAGTTAATCGCGATTTCGACGTTTTCCCTAACATCTCTTCCTTCCTCTTTTTCTCAGCAGAAGACGCTTCGATATCAGAATCAGATCTAGACCGTACAAGCATTACCGACATCGACGGAGATCGATGAACTCGTTGATTCACCGGAGAATTGTGAACTGACTCCTCCACCTTCGCTTCCGCAACGCGAGAACCTGAGCACACACCCGCCGCCGCCACAGGTTCACTCACGCGTTGGATCGAAATAGCTCCAAGCATACTCTTCTTAGATTCAAGTCCCATTCCATTAAGAAGCCGACGACGACGCTCCGTGATAGATCCCGGCGCCGACATCCAAATATCATAATCCGGCGACATATCCGGCGCAGGAGCAGCGCGAGAGGAGGACGAAACATTAGAAGAAAACGAGATCCGGCAATCATCAAACTCACCTTCTTCCTCATCTGAAGATGATGCTAAATCCAAAGGCACGACGGTGGAGATACGATTAGAGCTATCGAAAAAATGATCGTCGTCGTCTTCAACCTCGCCTAATCCCGCCCAATTCATCGTCATCGTCTTCTTCCGTTCCAATTTCCCGCCGTCTCGATTCTCCATTACTGTTCATAGAAACTTCCAGATCTTCTTCTTTTTGTTTCCCAATAAATTCAAATTTCTCGTTTTTTTTTTTTTTTTTGGATTTCAAAGTTTTTTCTCGTTGTGATGATTTTTGTTTTGGAGGGAGAGTTGTGGAAAGGAGAGAATTAAGGGATCCCTGCCATTCTAATCAAGTGTTACTTTTGATATCCCATAATCTGACGGTTTATAACTCACCACGTGTCAAACCTAAGTAGACCAAATACGAATATAGATGTATTAAAAACAAATCAGAGTAGACCAATATAAAATATATGAAATCTGAACGCAATAAACACAATTAAAGTGTATACTTATCAGTTTTTATTAAAAAGTAAAGTTAACCAATATAAAATTAACAAAAATCTTTTTATGTATATAAACCAAAACTACGGTTAAAAATCTCTAGTTATTATTATAAGTGTTGGGTCTGAGCTCAAATATATAGGTATAACAAAAAAAACTACTAAAAAAACTTCCAAAATATTGATCTGTAACCCATGGATTTCATTCTCAAACTCTTTGCACTTCTAGTCTCATTCTCTGTTGTTCAATCCCGAGAAACTACTAAAAGTTGGAAATCTATCAAGGTAAGTTAAAATATGTATTAATGTATATAATAATAATCATTATTTTGATATTTTATATGTAAATTATGAGATTGAGATATATATCTCATACATTATTTTCATAGTTAAATGAGAAGATGATATATGATTGTGTGGATATTTACAAACAACCTTCGCTAAATCATCCACTACTCAAAAATCATAAAATTCAGGTATGTTCTTTCATCTAATTTTTTATCATACAAAACTTAATTGTAGCTTTTTTTTTTGTCAACACTTAATTGTAGTTTTTTATAACCAAATATGATTTAATCTCTCACATCACCAATATATCGTATGACAATATATATGTGACTAATGTAGATGGAACCATCTTTTCTAATCCCTAAATCAAAAAATCAAGTCGAAAGCAAAATATTCAAAACAATTATCGATTGTCCAAACGGAACAGTTCCTATATTGAGACACACAAAAGAGTATGTTGCAAATGCCCAATATTTTGGAGAAAAGCATTTCAATCCGTTCACAATGCAAAGTCATGGAATACATGTAAGCACTCAATTATATCATTATTATTCTACTTTCAGTTACTTTAGTTACACATTTTTAAGCCTATTAAAAATTTTGGAATTTCAAGTTTGCCGGAGTTAGATTGAAAGGCAACGGTCGGAGTCCTTTCTATGGTACAGCATCTTATATAAGTGTACATGACTTAAACGTTAGTCGGGACCAAGTTTCATATGCTCACGTATATGTTGGCAGTCGAGTAAATAACATAGATAATTTTATTGAAACCGGTTGGATGGTAAGTTACTGTTTATAATATATTTTTCTTTTTAATATAATTATTTTTGATATATCATATGATTTTAAGAATAAAATGTCTTAATTTGATTTAGATAAATCCAAGTTTATTTGGTGATGGACGTGTATGGGGTTATGGATATTTTAAGGTAAATCTATTGAACATTTCACTCTTTACCACCTTAATACAAACCAAATTTCAAAATCAACTCTAAAGCACCTAGTATTGGTATATTTGTACTAGAGAGCTCTTGGGAAAGAGCATTACCATGGGATCCTGAGTTCCAATCCTAATGATAGAGGAAGAATACTATATTATATGCTATAACTTATAGAAACTATGGAATGAATATCCATAAATCTATGGTCACCATCTAAACAAATTATATATGAAATTGAAGGGCAAATCTTTTGATTTAGCTAGTTATTTTTAGTGCCATATGTTTTTCCTTAATTACTGTTATTTAACAATCATGTACTTCTTTTAGAAATTTACAGTTACTGCTAAATTATATTTTGTCACATGAATTCTATTAATCTATAAATATGAATTGTTAATGATAGGGTGCCAATGGGACAGGGTGTTATAATACAGTATGTCCTGGTTTTGTTCAAGTGTCAAAAAGAGATCTTATAAGTGGACCTTTACCTGAAGCTCTTGAAGGTAAAAGAAACATTGGTTCTAATTTTCAACAGGTAACTCATATTTTTCTTCGCTTTACTAAATAGTTTTATGTGTCTCTGTGTGTTTTTAATATATATCAAATCTAACATTTGTATTTTTTAATTATCTATTAAAGGATAAAAAAACAGGAAATTGGTGGGTATCAGATATAAAAAACGTAGGAAAAGATATACACATTGGTTATTGGCCAAAGGAACTATTTGATGTGATAAGTGATGGTGTGAATATTGTTGGAGTTGGAGGAGTAGTCAAGACTTCTCCTTCCGGCAATAGTCCACCAATGGGTAATGGTCATCGACCAGAAAAGGATAAAGATGATATGGCGTCAGCACGCGTTCGAGACCTTCTCGTCATTGATTCTAGTTACAAGTTCAAGAGAAGTAAAAGATCTAAATTAGAATATTTATTAGACAATGACAAATGTTATGGATTGAGAAAGGGAAAAGAACATTTGTTTCTGTTTGGTGGAGAGGGAGGAGATTCTTGTTGAATCTAACATTACAAAAGAAATTATATGCTTGGTTATCATAAGGAATAATAAATAAATCATTGGACTAGTTGTTTTACATCCGATCCTCAATTCAATCTAAAGGGTGTTTTAACTTTTTTTTTTTTTTTTAATTAGTGAACGTAAGGCCAGGGTTTAATAATTATGGATTCGTATTGTCATCAGACTATCTAGATTTGAAATATGATTATTTAACTAAAAAAGTGTTAATAAATGAGCATTATAGCTAAATTTATCTCAGATACTAATATATGAAAAAATGAATATATGTAAAAGTTTTAAGAAGTTACGTACTCCTACTTCCATCAACTAAATTTCATAAAGTGAACTTTCTATAATTTCACCACTTGGAACATTGATTTAACTGCACTCTTTAGTTTCATTCTCCGATCCGTTATGTGAAATATTCGTTAAAATATATTTTCTAACTTTTAAATTATGTATCCTTTACGAATCTTTACCACTTTTTCATTTTTAAATAAGTGCGTTATGACGACAAAGAGAAAGCGTGTTAACAAAAGTCCAATTGGACCAAATATCAATCTATAGGTATTCAAGTCGGCCAATAAAAAGAGAAAACATTTTTGTAATGTAGTATATGAAATCTGAACACAGTAAACACAATTAAAGTGTATACTATAAGTTTTTATTAGAAAGTCAAGTTTACCAATAGATAATTAACAAAAACCTTTTTATGTATATCAACCCAATCTACGATTAAAAATCTCTAGTTATTATAAATACTTAGTGTTGGGTCTAATCTCAAATATATAGGTATAACAAAAATACTACTAAAAAAGCTTCCAAAATATTGATCCTTAACCCATGGATTTCATTCTCAAACTCTTTGCACTTCTAATCTCATTCTGTTTTGTTCAATCCCGAGAAACTACTAAAATTTGGAAATCTTTCAAGGTAAGTTAAAATATATGTATATAATAATCATTATTTTGATATTTTTGTATGTAAATAATGAGATTGAGATATATTTCATTCATTATTTTCATAGTTAAATGAGAAGATGATATATGATTGTGTGGATATCTACAAACAACCTTCCTTAAGTCATCCACTACTTCAAAATCACAAAATTCAGGTATTTTCAATCATCTAACTTTTTTCATACACATTATATTTTTTAACCTCATACATTTTTCAATTTGTCCTAAATGAAATTTGATTGATAAAGTTTTAATTTGTGATAACTATCACTTAAAATATTTTATTTAAAATAATTTATTTCCAAATCAACTATATTGAAATTTTGAATTGTGTAAATATTGTAATTTTTAGTTAAGATTTATTTGGAAAAATTAACTATGATTTATCTCTCAAATTTGTCATCAATATCATAGTGTAATTTTCATTACAAAAAAAACATAAGGAATATTTTCTGGATTCTTGGAATACCGGTCATATTTTTTATTATGAAGATGGAAGAAAAACCACGTTGATTTCAAACAAAATTTAATTGTAACTTTTTATAAGTCTTATATGACTTAATCTCTAATATCACCTATATATGGTGTGACAATATTTGTGACTTATGTAGATGGAACCATCTTTTCTAATCCCTAAATCAAAAATTCAAGTCAAAAGCAAAACAGTCATCGATTGTCCAAACGGAACAGTTCCTATATTCAGAAATACAAAAGAGTATGTTGCAAATGCCCAATATTTTGCAGAAGAGCATTTCAATCCGATCACGGTTAAAAGCCATGGGACACATGTAAGCACTCAATTATATCCTAATTATTCTACTTTCAGTTACTTCACTAATGTTATATTACACTTTTTTAAGCCTATTAAAATTTTTGGAATTTAAAGTTTGCCGGAGTTAGATTGAATGGCAAAGGTCGGAGTCCTTTCCATGGTATGGCATCTTGGATAAGTGTACATAACTTAAACGTTAGTCGGGATCAAGTTTCATATGCTCATGTATATGTTGGCGGTCGAGTAAACAACATAGATAATTTTATTGAAACCGGTTGGATGGTAAGTTACTTTTTATAATATATTTTTGTTTTTTTAATAAATCATATAATTTTAAAAATAAAATATTTTGATTTCACTTATAGATAAATCCAAGTTTATTTGGTGATGGACGCGTGTGGGGTTATGGATATTTTAAGGTAAGTCTATTAAACATTTCACTCTTTACCACCTTAATACAAACCAAATTTCAAAATCTACTCTAAAGCACCTAATATTGGTAGATTTGTCGGTTGATACTAGAGAGCTCTTGGGAAAGATCATTACCATGGGGTCATGAGTTCCAATTCTACATATAGAAGAAGAATACTGTATTATATGCTATAACCTATAGAAACTATGGAATGAATATTCATAAATCTCTTGTCACCGTCAAAAGTCAAAACAAATTATATACAAAAGTTACGGGCAAATCTTTTGATTTAGCTAGTTTTTTTTAGTGTTATATTTTTTTTTTTATTAATGTTATTTAACAATCATGTACTTCTTTAGAAATTTACAGTTACTGTTAAACTATATTTTATCACATGAATTCTACTAATCTATAAATATGAATTATTAATGATAGGGCGCCAATGGGACAGGGTGTTATAATACAATATGTCCTGGTTTTGTTCAAGTATCGAAAACAGATCATATAAGTGGGCCTTTACCTGAAGGTCCTGATGGTAAAAGAAACATAGGTTCTACTATTCAACAGGTAACTCATATTTTTTACCAATAGTTTTTGAGATAGTTTTATGTATGTATATGTATGTATGAATTTGTTTTTTTGTTTTGTAATATGCATCAAATCTAACATGTGTATTTTTTTCTATTAAAGGATAAAAAATCAGGAAATTGGTGGGTAACAGATATAAGATATAAAGAAGACGATATACCCATTGGTTATTGGCCAAAGGAACTATTTGATGTAATAGGTAACGGTGTGAATACTCTTGGAGTTGGAGGAGTAGTCAAGACTTCTCCTTCCGGCAATAGTCCACCGATGGGTAATGGTCATCGACCAATAGAAAAGGATAAAGATGATATGGCGTCAGCACGCGTTCTAGACATTCTCGTCATGGATTCTAGTTTGAAGTTCAAGCTAGTTGATAGATCTAAATTGGAAAACTTATTAGACAGTGACAAATGTTATGGATTGAGAAAGGGAAACAAAAATTTGTTCACGTTTGGTGGAGAGGGAGGAGATTCTTGTTGAATCTAACATTACAAAAGAAATTATGTGCTTGGTATTATATGGAATAATAAATAAATTATTGGACTAGTTGTTTTACATCCTCAATTCAATCTTGGGCCAGCTTGATTGATCCAGCGAGGAAGAAACTTGCAAGATAGGTCTGAATCTGAATCTGATGGTCTCGAGCTTGACCACTATACTTATATATGCTTGGAAAATTTTCGGCCCACTAATCATTTATGCTCTTAAGGCCCAAAATTATTCTTGAAAAGATAAACCACGAAATAGATTCTTATTCAGTATCTTATTACATCAATAAGCTCTACTATAAAACCTTTCTTAAGAAAAAAAGTCGTTTCTACTTTGTTCATGATTTTTTCACTTCAGAAGTTACGAAATAGATATATAGGAGATACATACTGAAGGTTTTAGTTACGTAATGATTTATATATAAGTAAATATAAAGACGGCTAATTCGCATTACCCATTTGGATTTCTTGGTCATCAGTCAAAGGATGAACCTTCCTGTGTCGACGACCACCACACCAATTTCGTACGAGGGTAACCACGATGATTAAAAAGAAAATCAGGAAAACCAGACCAAGCATCCAGTACCAGTAGTGAGAATCTCCGGTCTTCTCCACTTCTGCGTTCTCCAAAGTATATTGCATGGTGTGTTCCTCTGATTTCAAACTATTTTTATTTTACTAGCTAGAGAGAAACTAAGCTTATGGAATTGGGTGTGAATTGGGTCTTAACTAGTTCTATATATAATGTTGTTAGTACGTAATATTTTCTTCGTATGAATATAGATAAAATTTAATTTTAATTGTAAGTGTTTGCATAATCGGAGTACCGTAGATACTAGATAATATGACACTAGTTTTTAAAAAAGTTAGCGGGAGATTATATTCATCGTCATTAGCCAATTCTGCTGAGTCGTCATCCGTTCTTTTGATATGCTGCTGAGAACCATTATTTTCAATCCATAAGTTAGAAAAGGTAACTGAAAGCAAAAAATATAAAACATCATCGATTCATTGCAGTGGGATACATTAACCAGCACGCTATCGCTAAACACAGCACACAATATTACATAAACTAGTACTATGGCAGGAACATATTTTTAGATCAGACAAAAAAAAAAAAAAAGAAGAAGAAGATCAGATGGTAACTTTGACCATTTTGCCGGGATTAAGAGCTAACAAAAGATGCTACTAGTTATTTATTTCTATATTTAATTAGTGTTAGTAAATTATTATTGCGGTCAGCTCCGTTACAGAAATAATTTATGAGTATACCACACATGAAAGTAGAAGAATATATGTATCTAATTAATTCTGAAAATTGATGGAATTTAACGATATTCTCCTTGATTGATGTGCATTTTAACCCTGTAGACATCACAATGGCACACACATAATAAAATAATAATCCATCCATCGATCATAACAAGGTGTACCCAAAGCAGGAAGCATGATCCATTACGAAGGATGTTTGCTTCCACTGAAATTCTTTTGTTTATTTTTTCTTGTCAAATCGTAGTTTACTTTCATGCTTAATTATATCATAAATAATCTAATGAATTTTTGAATTTTGAAACTGGGAAAATGAAAATTACATGATTCAAACTAAATTTACCCTCAAGCTATTATTTTGGGCTAATTACATTTCCAAATTTGCTCCACTCCTAAAATCAAACATATCAAAATCAGAAAAGACAATTAATACATATGCATTGAAAACGTAAGTTAATGTTGAAATTGAAAAGAAGAAATTATAATGTAAGCTTTGACTTTGGTTCAGTTGTATAAATCCAAATTAAATGATACATAAATTTTCTTATTGTTATTAGCTAATTAATTATACAGAAAATGAAAAACAAAAAAAAATGAAGAAAAATTCAAAGGATCAAATTACCACCACACAGTCATGAATTAGAAATGAACGATCATTACCAATTAAGGCAATAATCTTATTGTTTCCGTGACTTCTTGATCCTACGGTCCAAATCCTCGAAGAACATCTCGATCTCACGGCTCAGATCAATCGGTATACGGTTAACAACATTAACCGGCGTTAATTTCCGTTTCGTACCGGAAGACCGGTTCGGTTTTGGTTTTCTCGGAGCCGGTGGACATAACGTATACTTCACCTCCGGAATCTTGTGATCGGACGATGTTGGAGTCTTGCACCCATCTTCGTCGTTGACCGTTGGATCTTCGTGATCAGGGTCAGGGATGTCTAATTCGGGTCGGGTCGGTAATCGGATCTTCTCTACGTCTTCTTCTTGGATCTCTTTGACGCAGCAGATCTCTGCCATTAGACAAGTTTTAGAGAGAGAAAGAGAGAAGAAGAGAGAAAGAGAAGAGAGAGACAGAGAGAGATTACGTGCGTTGGATCCGAAGCTTGAAAGCCTCCATTTCAACTAACTAGTGATCTGTCTCCCAAGTGGCGGGATTACATAAAATGTTTATTTATTTGATTTGTTTTATTATAGGCTCATTATTTACATTGTATAATGTATACTATTCCTATGTAAAATTTAGCAGTAAGCTAGAAAAAGCTAGAAAAAAAAAGAAAATCAAATATATGATTCAACACTATTTGCAAACCAAAAATATTTTTCTAGAGCCTAAACATTCGATGTCAAAATTATGAGAATGCCCTTTTTAATATATGTTTTAAAACCATTTATAAACAACAATTAACAATGCCCTTTTAACACTGTTTACAAACCACAATGTGAATATGCATGCATGCAAAAAGAATATATATATATAAAGCTATATTTTTAATTTGTTGAAAAAAACTAAATTACTTTTTACTTTCATGTAAATGAAATTATTATTAATTTTCTCGATGATTTGATTAGTCTTGTTGACTTTCAGAATAACGATCTTGGCGATACAAAAAACATCCGTGCTTTCTTTACTACTTGACGCATTTGCATTCTTATATAGTTATATTGGTTACATTTACGGATTTTTGTTAATTAAATGGAAAATGAACATATCGAAGAAAAACGAAAAGGTAAAAAAAAATCTCCACAAACTTTGATGCAAATCAGACGCACGTGCCTTTGCTTTGCATGGGGACCTCGCAGTATTTTTTTGAAATTTCTATGTTTTAGTAATTTAGTTTCTCATGTTTCTTCAATCTTCATACGATGTCGTATATGATAATATTTGTCTAATATCGTGACAAAATAATTTTCTCATCAGATGCTTCCTTTATCGTGCACGCAAGTAATGAATCACCAACTAATAATTGACTTCTCACTAATCAATTTTGTTGATACTTGTCATTGTTTTTTTAATTTCCTTATCAAACACGAAAAATAATCTTTTTTTCTTGCTTATATCTCTCGGAAAAAATATTGCATAACGGCCTCTCTAAAAAACGTTGTAATATGTTACTTTTTAGATTTAAAATATTAACTGAATTAATGATACTAATTTGCACAAGCTAATGCTACTACTTTTAGAGGATTTTTTTTTGTATTTTTGAATAAGAATAATAATGTTTTTAAGCTAAACTTCTTACATGTATCGAATTATTTTTAATTTACTATTTTAATTGTGATTTCTTTACTATTTTACTGTTTTGTGATAGGAGTAGAAAACAAAACATAAAATTACCATTAAATGCAGCAATAGTTTGGGGTATGACTACTTGCTATTCATATCCCTAACATTGAGATCTCCAAAGTTCAGACGCAACCTTTCATGTTCAAAACCAATAACAATCCACAGTACTGTTCTAAAATTTGTATTTATCCATCATTACTGTTGCTGTTTTACTTGATATTATTATCATAAACATTTGAAATATTGATGTTCTTTATAAATTAATCTATATATGAGATACTCGTGGAAATTTTTAACTTTGGATTCCTCAGCCGTATAAAATGTGAACCACTTTAGATTTGGTAAACTTGCCATACGTCTCTAAACGACGACCACCTACCAGAACCATCCTCCAAAGTCCAAATTAACAAATTGTGAAATTATAAAGATGTAAGTAATGATATTAAATTAGGGGATTAAAGTATGGATTAAGTGAGTAAATTAAAAGGTTAGCAAAGGATAATGAAAGATTGGCGACTAGGCATGTGGTGCGATGACTACACGCACATGGGTGCTCATCATGTCCTCCATCTTTCACGTTTTGTTATTTACTTTCTTTAGCTTAATAAATTATACATATTATTGGGTCAGAAAATTAGGAGAAAAAAATCTCTCTCAAGTACAAAATTTATATTTTCATATATATATATATATATATATATATATATATATAGTACTATCAAAAGTCACGAGAGAAAGTTGCAAACATGATCAAATAACATGTTTATGCATTGGTCATTTTAACAATCTGCAAAGGATAACAAGATCGTACAATCGAAATTCACAAACTCTTACAAAGCATATACTAACAAGTTAAAATAAAACTTTCTATGATAGCTTTTAACAAAAAAAGAAAAGAAAAAGAAAAGAGAAAGACTTTATAAGCTAATTATATTCTAAATGAATATATATTGGTTATTTCCATATAGTGTTGTAGTATCATTAAGAAGTTGTTGATCAGGTTTCCATTTAATTGATACCACTGATTACAAATTATATTAATACAGATTTTTTTTTGTCTTCGAGTTACAAATATCCAACTCGAGTGTTAACGTCATCAAGTAACATTATCTATGTGTGTATATATATTATTCAAAGAGGGTGGTTTCTCTCTTTTTATATAGCAAAGGTGGTGTGCTTTTTACACATGGAGAGATAAAAAAAAATGAGATACTTTATGACATCAAACGATGCTGCTTAGACATATATGAATCAAATCCCACATGCAAATTGGGACCATTTATTTTCCTTGGTTTTACCCACTCTATCTAATGATCATCATCAGTAACAACTATTAATTCACCTCACTGAATTAAGTAGTTAAAACCTAATTTTTAAACCTCTAATTAATCACTCTAAGTAAGATCTTGAGGAAACTACACACTGTATCTTGAGGAAACTACACTGTAAAAGTCTGAAGAAAAAAAACAAATTGTGTGATGTTCATGAATTGATAGTCCAGTCAAATATTTTAATTATTTTACTCGTTATGAACCATCATATTTTCAGGATCAACGATTATATATGTTTTTCACGATAATTTTATGCAGTTTTATAATTTATTTGGCCTCTTGTAAACAAAAGAGAAAACAGCTTATCTATGGAGTTTACCTTAAATAAAAGTACTAATAGTATAAACTAAAGTCAAAACATATAGTAGTAAATTAGATAAAGGTTGGGATCTGGGTCCAGAGATTCTAATTGAATGCTTTCATTATCTTATAAAGCTTTATTTGTGATTCCCACATCTTTTAATAAAAATCGCTTTGCAGTGTATATTCCTAAGGACACGAGACAGCTTTGTTGTCTATTTGTGTAGGACATGCTTAGTCTTGTTCCTCTAATAATTAATAAAGGTCTCATTTAGAAGAAAAAAACAATATACATATTTGAAAAGGTATGGAGTTTACATTATTTACATGAATTATGGAATTTTGTATCGCAAGTCGCATATGCATTTTTGGTTCTATATTATGGGTTTGCTAGCTGCAACTTGCAAGGAGTTTGAATTCAATTTGATACGGTTAAATTTGTAGAGTAAAACAGAAAACAACTTGATAACTAAATATTAAATTCTTAATATATAAGAAGTGAAATTTTATCGAACTAGAAAACTTAATACTCCTATGTTTTATTAACTTAAAAAATGGTGGAATATGTGAAACAAATAATAATATGGGGATAATTTTAGAAAACCTTTTTCGTTAGAAAATAATTCAAACTCATTCAGAGTCATATCGATATCAGCTGGGCATATATTATTACCAAATAAAGAAAGACACACACAGCTCTGCATGGCTTATCAATTATATAGTGATAATTGATCTCTACTTAACATGACTAGTGAGTAGTGAAATTGACAAAATAATAAAGCGAAGAAATTCCTATACCTAAAAAAAAATCCGAATAAATCACCAAAACTTTAGTTATGAATTTCTCTTCGTTTTATTTCTCACTAAAAAAAATTTGGGTCTAACAAGATTTGTATAAAAACATAGAGGTCTAAACGAAACATCTACTTTAAATGGGAATTATAAATGGTTTATATTAAATAGAGGGCTTTCTCCTCACAACTGAATTGGGCTTTAGTAAAAGCCCAATTTCAATCTTGAAAACGTTGACTTCGATTTGACTCCTCCCGAGTTTTCTTCTCCGATGAAATCTCACCGTCTTCTTTCAGCTCACTCAATTTTCCGGCAAAATCCGATTTTTCATTGTGTTATTCGTTAGGGCACGAAAAACCATGATTGATCCGCGAATGTAATCACCCAGATCTGATTGGTTTCTTTTCGTAGAGGAAATATGGGGAAATTAGCCGTTGCAGCGATCACGAGCTTGTGGGTGATTCCAATGTCGATTATCGTCAATCACATTGTTCCTGAACCGTACATGGTAAAAAAACCCCTTTTTGGAACTTGGGTTCTCAATAGAATCTGCGAATCACTCTCTATATCTCTGATTTGTTATGATTACTGTTGAATTTTGCAGGACGAGATATTTCATGTGCCTCAAGCTCAGCAATACTGCAATGGGAACTTTAGGAGTTGGGATCCAATGATCACTACCCCACCTGGCTTGTAATACTCTGAGTTTTCATTAAAGTCTGGATTTTTCATTGTGTTATTGATGCTGATTTGTGTTGTTACTACTTCTTTTGTAGGTACTATCTTTCACTAGCACATGTTGCTAGTTTGTTTCCAGGAATGTTGTTGATGAAAAACACTGCTCAGTCCTTTTCAGAAGCTTGTTCGACATCTGTCCTGCGGTCTACAAATGCTGTTTTTGCAGTATTGTGTGGTGTTTTAGTGTATGAGATAATCAGATTCTTGGGGCCGAATCTCAGTGATAGAAAGGCGACTTTTATGGCGTTAGTCATGTCGCTTTACCCTCTCCATTGGTTCTTCACTTTCCTCTACTATACAGATGTTGCCTCTCTAACCGCAGTTCTTGCCATGTACCTTACTTGTTTGAATAGAAGATATATGCTCAGTGCATTGGTAAGTGATTTGAAGCAAATTAGTTTTGTTTTTGTTCGAACTTAGAATTACAATTATGTAGGCAATTTTATTTCGGTTTTGTTCTTGCAGTTTGGCACTTTAGCAGTTTTTATCCGACAAACAAATGTAGTCTGGATGCTTTTCGTTGCTTGCTCAGGTGTTATAGACTTCACTCTTGACTCGTCTAGGCAAAAAGGAAAACAAGAAGTAAATCAAGAATTGCATCAGTCTAGTGATAGGGAAGGAACAGCTCTCAGATCAAATCTTAGAAAAAGAAAATCTGATATCAGCTCAGACACTTCAGACCGTTTTAACCACGGTCAAACTGTTTCTTCAACAAAGGATACTTCAGGTAGGCTTCTTTACATGTTTTGTTTATAGTTTGGCAAATTATTGCTTTCCTAAGGCAAAAGTATAAATGTTCCTCATCTCTTACAATATCTAAGGTTTAAAATGCAGGCTTACTGTATGATGTTTATGCTGTAATCTCAACATCTTGGAATATGAAGTGGAGGATTTTGATCAAGTTTAGCCCTTTTATCTTTGTTGTGGTGGCGTTTGGTATATTTATCCTCTGGAACGGGGGTATAGTTCTCGGTATGTTGATTTAGTTTACCTATTTACTCTTCAATTAGGAATTGGTTCTGTCTGTATTTACTTGAACTGTAAATTTAGGTGTACATTGTCATTTTACTAATCCATCAATTCAAATTTACAGGTGCAAAAGAGGCTCATGTAGTTTCACTGCATTTTGCTCAGATAATGTATTTTAGCCTCGTTTCTGCTCTTTTCACTGCTCCGCTACACTTCTCAGTAAATCAACTGAGAAATCAGTTCCAAAAGCTCCATAGAAATTGGCCATTAAGCCTTCTACTATCACTTGTGGCTTTGGTAGCCGGATTTGTCTCTGTACACTTTTTCAGGTTTGATTTCTGAATACTTCTCAAAACACCTATAGACTTTTCTACGTCAGACTCTTAGTTCTCTTTATTTTCTGAAAATGCTTTGTAGCTTGGCTCATCCATATCTTCTCGCCGATAATCGCCATTATCCTTTCTACCTATGGAGAAGAATTATCAATGCGCATTGGTTAATGAAGTACATGTTAGTCCCGGTTTACGTCTATTCATGGTTCTCGATCCTAACTTTATTAGGTATGTTAAAACCGTTTCATGTAGTATACTCTTTTACTTTACCCTTTATTTTTGTATTGTTAACCTGACTTATTCTATTCTTTCATGATACGATAGCGAAAACTCGAAGGAAGATCTGGGTATTGGTCTATTTCCTAGCTACATGCGGTGTTCTTGTTCCCACACCATTGATCGAGTTCAGATATTACACCATTCCGTTTTACCTCTTCATGCTTCACTCATGTGTGAGAAGCAGCGGCTTCGCCACTTGGCTTCTCATCGGAACGATTTTTGTCTCTATTAATGTGTTTACAGTGGTAATGTTCTTGTTTAGACCTTTTAAGTGGAGCCATGAAGATGGTGTCCAGAGGTTTATATGGTAAGGGACAAGGTTTAGTACTCTTTTGATGTTATTATTAGGTTCCTCAGAAACTGTAGAGCCCATGATGTTTTCTGTTGTTATAAAAACATCAGTTTTAAGGTTTCTTTTTGTCAAATCGAGTACAATAGTTAGGCAGGATTTGGACTGGGGGTGTGCCATGTGGCTACAGGTGTCTCTGTTCTTTATCCTAAAACAACATATGTAATGGACTAATGGTAAAGTAAGTAATAGTCGCATTAATCTGGAAAGTGGTTAGTTTATGTGGGAATTTAGGTGAGTCAATGTAGCAGAGAGTTTCCAAAGTCATGGGAACTGTTAGAAATAGATTACAGCGGAATGTTAGAAACTCAAATGTCCAAAATCCTATGTTTTAGTAGTTTTACCAAACTTGGAAAAACAAGAGGATATTTTGAAATTAAGTAATTTAACCCTGTTCAGATTCTTTTCATTATTAAAACAAATAAATTTAAGACAGCATAAATTCCTTTTTAAAAATATTCTTTTAAAGTTTTTCCCTTTATATACCGTGACTGATAAAAAAAATGTGAATATGATAACATTTTAAGATAGATTATGATTAAAAAAAAAATATTTCCTCGAAGTTACTGGAAAAGTCACATTTTGTATATTTCCCAAAGAAGAAGAAAAAAACCAAAATTGTCGTTTGTGAACTGATGAAAACTGGTAGTCGGAGGAAAAAAGACTTTAGATTCAAATCTGAGAGTAAAAATTGGATTAAGTTGATAAATATGTGTCAAATAAGATTTTTATCTAACCATTGACAAATTGTCCAAAACGCGTCTTTCGACTTTTTCAGATTAAAAGAATGACAACCATTAGAAGTTAGGATTTACAGGCTTTTGAATTTTGAATAGTGTGAATCTTAAAAATTCTGAAAAGGACATCCAATTTTATGTTCCATGTATAAAATCTCGTTGGAAAAAATTATGCCCGATAGTCCAACTCATGATGGACTGATTCAGAATTACAACTATATAGAGTATACACATTTTCAAATAATATTGACATTAAGATCTTCTACATTCTAACGTGTTAGAAACTAATAAATGGATGATATATCAAATACAAGGAGTAAAAATCCATATATAACCGAAAAAGCCAAAGATATAAAAATATATATGCCACTTCGGTGTATTTTCACTAAACTATATAGTAAGATAGATACAACATATGAAAAAATTATGGAAAAAAATCAAATCGAGAATAAGAACTTTAAATCGGAAAAATATCAACCCGAGTTATTGTAATAAGTTCTTCAAAAGATTCAAATTCATGAAAAACAATAATATTCACATTGATGATCTCCATATTCTTCCTTCAAGTGAGATCACTATCACAGAGACATCATCGTGATACCTCCTACGATCTCCTTGTGGTATCTCCAACAATTCATGAAAATCCATACCTAAATAAAGACAAACAAATATTAGATTTCAACAATATTCAGAAGTTTGGCCTTTTTTTTATATAAGATGAATAAATTATTAAATTTTCTTACCAAATTTGTTGGCAGCACGAAGAAGGACTTCTTGGATTAAGTGTTGAGCTGGATCGCCTTCAGGAAAAGCAGAGATGAAAGATTCAACCTCGAAAATGGCTTCTTGGTTAGAGAAATATTCATACAATCCATCAGAAGATAGGATTAGGAATTTGTCACGTGACGTTAGCTTGTGATGACATAGTGATGGAGAACATGTAATGTATGGTGATGTCCCGATATAATCGATCCTGAACATCTCTAAAAGTGCATCGTTCCATTTAGGCTGCGGGAAAGAAAAAGGAAAAAAAAGAAAGATTCAAACTTATGAACATTAAATACAATAAGAATACTCTTAAGTTTTGGTTCATATTACAAACCCGATAATGCAAAAAAAATGATACATAAGTTAACGTATACAATCTTGAGTGATGTGTTATTACCTGTTTGAGAAAGCCAGCTCCAAATGCACGAGTGACCTTAAGATAACCTTTAACTCTATCATTCTCTACTGCACAATCATCGTCAGGATGTTCCTTCTTGATTCTTCTCACTTCCTGTCATCATAAAACAAAACCTATCAATTTCTCAGTCCACTTAAAACAACAAAATAACTTCTTGATTCTTTGTTTACCTCTTCAATTCTTGTGCTATGTTCCATGTTAAGTTGTAGAGGAACCAAAGTATTACGCATTGCTCCATTCATCAAAATTTCTTTATCTTCTAAAGAACTATCTTCTCTGATTCTCTCCAACTCCTTTTGCCTCTTTCTCCCGGTTGCTAAATTAGGTTTCCGGCCTAAAACCGCTCGGCTATCCCCGACATTCATCACGTACACATCTTCTCCTTTCATCAATGTCACGAGAACACAAGACCCCATTAGTGCTAATTCTGGATTCTCTTTAACCATTTGATCAGCTAGCTCTAGATACGCGTCTTCGGTTTTCCTCAGCGCTAGTAAAAGAGCTTTAAGAACATCTTTATGGTTTGTTGTCGTCGAATTTGATCCTTTCTGATCACATTTGTTATCAGATTTGGTCTTGTTGTTTGACTTATTCTCCCATTCACATCTCCATTTCACACTCCTCTCTTGGTTTCTTGCACCGGAAGCAACTGGATCATCACTGTTCACCACAGGACAATTCTCTTTCCCCGAATTGGAATCTTCCTCATCGGAACATTTTCCGAGCTGGGTCTCGCAGTTTTCTCCAAAATATCTAAGCTTTTCGTCGTTCCAAAGTAACCCATTAAGCTCCTTTTGCACGGCGGTGTAAAGATTGTTGAGGAGATAATCCGGCGCATCTGGACCACTAAATCCGTCATAGATTCCGACAAAGACCCATCCGTTGTCTTCAGACACAACCACGTGTACACGATCCTCCCCTGCTTTCCCCTGAGCCCATTGAACATCCAAAACAGAGTCGATGCTCTGTTTTTCATCTTCTTCTTCCAGATCAGATTTAGGGTTCTCGTGGCTTCGTGAGGAAGTAATCACAGGTTCATGATGATGACGACCGGAATCTGATGAATCCGAACCGTTGATCGGCTCGATCACACTCTTCTTCAAGCGAGACTTGTTGTTAGAGATAAGACTCGTGAATAGTGTTTTGAATGTGAGAAAATTCTTCTTCGATTTTGATTTTTTTCTGATCTTCTTCGGTTTCTCTTTCTCCGTCTTCTTCGTTGATTCGATCGGACCCGAATACAACCCGCTTTCAATCGGACCCGATAAGAATCGTCGTTCAAACGGAGCTGACCCGTGATCCGACTCGTTAACAATCGGACCTGATTGCCACGTGGAGCCACGCGGCACAGGCTGGAGTGGTAGAGAGGCGAAATTACCCGAGCTCTCGAATGCGGAGGCGGAGACGGCGGAGCTGTACGGACAATCAGAATCCGACGATAGAGCTCCGGAGAGCGCGGTGGAAGGATTTGCGCTGACCGATGCACCGGAGATTGAACGGAAAGTTGTGGTGGTTTCTTGGATAGTTTCTGAACGGAGAGGAATCTCCGAAGACGGTAAAACTACTCCGGTGAGATCCGGTCGTATGTAGCAGAAAGAGTGACCAAGACCGTCGTGAACAAGAGATACGTCGTATCGCCGGGAAATTTCTCTGGCGACAGTTCCTGTACAGCAACCGGTCAAAGTGGTGACTCCATTTCCCATTTGTCGGAAGAGAATTTGAGAGATTTAGAGTCTTAAACGTTGTCGTTTTTTCTCTAGCCACTAGAATCGGCGTCGTTCATAAAAAGGAGAGGCTTGAGAATGAGTTTGGTTGAATGTATGTTGGAAGTTGGAAAACCAAATGAAGAAGAAGAGACAGAGTCACATAGGTGGGAGAGAGAAAGAAAGAGAGAGTTGACTTTGAGATGTTTATTCTTTAGGGATTGGTTTATTCTAATTGTTAGTGGAATTAGTAAAATTATACAAAATACTTTTGGGTTTAGGCCAAAAGATTTTCTATTAAATTAAATACGAATCTACAGATTAGTTTGATTTTAGTTCAGATTTTTTTTTTTTTTTAAATAATATACGTCTTTTTCTGAGCTTTTTTTAGTGTAGTTCAGAAAAACAAACTTTTAATTGTAATATACTCCTTTTTTTGTGTGGGTTGGAGTTGGACTACAATTTTTTTTAATTAATAACCCAAAGATAATTCAAATCTTGGTAACATTCTGATTCGGGAATGCGCTATTCGATTCGGTTTGACTAAACCAACGTGCAATGTTAAGAAATAAAATAATTAGCATATAAAAAATCGTTTTGGTCTATTAAAAAACAGATGTTTTTTATACGAAGGAGTTGACTTTTGCGGAAGAGTGTGGTGGTTTTGTAGGAGATTAGAAAAGAAAGTTATTAAAGTATTAATGGCAAAAAGTCAAATGACTTGATAATGGGTTGAAGCAAATAGCCAAATTATAGTCTAGAAAATAGTACCATCTTGGAAAGGAAAATAGAAAATACGTTATGGTTTATCATAATTACGTGGAGTTAAAAATAACGTTGTTACACGAATTCTACCACATTAACTTTAGTTGAATAAATCACAAATTTGTCACATATTTTCTTTAGACAACACATACTAACACAACAAAACACTAAAAGCTTTTTCTATTTTTGTTAATTGTTATTATTATTTTTAACACGGAGGTTATCTAAGAATTGATATATACCGGTTTCACATTTATAAGAGAGAAAAAAAATAACAATACAAGTAACTCATAAAAGAACATTTATTGTAGAAATACTAGTTTGCACTTGATAACTTGATATTGTAATTTAGAGAGGCACAAAGTTATGATAAAGAAAATGGTTGATATTATTGTGTCAGAATTCAGATATTGAAAAAAAAGGGCTAAAAATTTGTCATGAGCTGGGCCAATTGGTCACTCTTCGGCCCATAAAGGAACCCATGAAAAGTCAAGATATCATAGTTATCCCACGCGCATCTGAATCGCGTTGTTATAACGCTCCCGTTTTTTGCAGTCTAACCCCTACGGAAATTGGTCGAGAATCATTGAATCCAATAATTTGTAGTCGAAGGGCGCGTGAGCTAACATTCAAATTTCTCAAACGGATATTTTTTACGTCTTAAAAACAGAAGAATAATTTGGAGACTGGACTTGCCTTTTCTCGGGCTTTGTCAGTCAACTAATTTAAAATCCGTTGCTACTGAAAAAGGACCGTAGGCTTTAAATGGGCCTATCTAGTACACAGTAACGGCCCATTTATTCATTGTTAAATTAATATATAACAAAAATAAATAATCCCAAAATTCGTGAAAACGGCAAATTTTTTTCTGAAAGTTCATGTTACGCACGCATGGTTCCGCTCTGTCTTGTCTCTTCCTCTTTCTCTCTTTCGCCATGGATATGGCAACCCAGAAGAAGATGTTCCAACACAAATCCATAAACATTTCACCTCCACAAGGTAACCACATTTATTCCGTTTCTAGATTTGTGTATGATTTGGGGTGTTTTCGATTACGAATTTTGTGTAAATTGCCAAAATCGAGATTACCGTTTTGGGTTTGGAATCGCCATTGATGACCTTTATACGTTACATAATGTGTATAAGTACATACGTTTTTATGTTATGATATTAGTATTTTAATCTGTTTTACTACGGAATGAATTCAGATCAAACTTGTCTTCGACTTTGAAATTTAGATATATGAACGGTTCTTGCTCGTGTAATGTACTATAAACTTTGATCGAGAGCAAATCTCTGACCATAAAAAAACGCTCATACTTTTGGAAAGTCTTGTTCTATTTTCCTTTAACAATTTTTGCACGAGATTTATTGATGTGTTATATCGCTTATGTTTTGTTTTCAGGTTTGATAAAATTATAGCTTGAGTGTGTTTTTTCTTCTTTCCACAAGTCATCAATGGGGAAGAACTTGCGTCACAAAGTTACTTGCTCCCCAATCCAAAACCACCCTGGATTCATGTGGGGACTGTTTGACATTCTTAAACACAACCATTGGCGTTACATCAAGAAACGACTTCCTCATAAAAGACCCGTTATTTGTAGAAGAAATGCTCCTGGTACGACAGTTTTCTTGATTCTTGTGCTCTCTCGTGCCTTAGTTTGGTGTCTTTGTCATGTCCTCGTTCAGCCTCAGTTTTAGTTAGGTTGGATTCAAGTTAGTAATAGATAAGTATATGCCATGGTTCTGTTTGATGTTTACAGCTCCTATAATTGATTATCTTTTGTAACATTTTCCATTTTCTGCTTGTAGGAACAAAAAACGAAGCAAACAACACAATCCCAGATGGTATTCCCGTACCGAAGACCAAGCTGGAAGATAAAACAGATGTAGTAAGTTGTTGCAAACTGAATATCTTACATTGGTTTAGTATAAAATTTTATTAACTCTCACCTATGGGATTCATTGCTTCAGGACTCTGGGCAAAGGCCAAAGAAGCCTAGTTCTGCAGTTAAGTCCAAAGAGTCTTCTAACTCAGGGGAGAAACCAAAAAAGAAGCATAATTCAGAGGAGAAGTCCAAGAAACTTAATTCAGAAGAGAGGTCAAGAAAAACACATTCTGAAATCAAAAGATCTGTCAAAGCTTTGATCAAGGCACTTGTAATAGAGGACAAGTCTAAGAAGAAAGGTCGTCATCACCGAAGCTGTACTTATCCAGTCCAGTCAAATCCAAAAGAGAAGGAGTCATTGAGTGAGGTTGAATCTTCAGATAAGAATTCCTCAAATGGTGATGATCGTAACCGAGTCTTTAACAAGACGGTTGGCATTTCACCCGCGATTGGTTCTTTGAACCCGCTTTATCTCATGTCTGAGGAATCAAGCAACAGTGACAGTGAAGATTTTAGAATCGAGAACAACATTCAAGTTGATGATACTGATGGAAGTAAATCAGATTTTGATGAAAAAGAGTTCAAGAAAAAGGACAAGAGCGACGATGATGAAGCTTGGTTTGACCCAAAGATGAGACACACCAAGGACTTCTCAGAGAATGAGGATGATACATCACCTAGACGGTCAAAAGCATGTCTTGATGCTCTTAATTTGATACACATGAATAGAAACTTCTTGTTGAAGGTATTGCAGGATCCGGGTTCTCCTCTAGCCCGGCATTTCCAGAGCCAACAATCTTTTAGCTCCAAAACAATGACTAAAGCTGGATCTTTTCCTACTCATGGTACCAACAGAGAGGATCATAATAATGGGTTTGACTCAGTGGGAGATAACGATAAGAAACCAACATCTCCTTCCATAGCTGCAGAACACAGAGCTGATGGGATTCAGAAGATGAATGAAACAATGCTGAAATTGGCTGATGAAGATTCATCTGGTTCTGGTTATGCAAGGAAACGAGGAAAGAACCAAGTTGTGATCAAACGTTTTAAGGATCTAAGGCAGAAGATAAAGCATGTGATCAACGAGAACAAGAACGAGAAACACCGTATCACTATGGATGCTGTTTTGGACAAAGTACCTCGAAAGTACGGTTTTTCGAAAGATTTGAGAGAAGACATTTTTGCACACTTGAAAGGAAACTCTGCAGCTAAGAACAACATCAAAGCAGATGGCGTGAAGCTGAAGCAAATAACAAGAGCTTCTTCACTGTGTGGATCGCTAGACCGATATCTTCAGCTATATGAATGTAGCTTCCAAAGAGAAGCGAAGAACAATAGTAATTCACAGAAATCAAAGGTGGAGTTAGAGGAATCAGCTTTGCCTTCTAAGAGAGTTCCTAAATTCTTGGGAAGGATTCTTTCGTTACCTGAAATGAAATTTAATGCTTTGAAGATTGATGACCTTCCTGTCCAATCAATCGAGGAAGAACAAGATTGTTTGGATAACATTTCAGAGATCTCAGAAGATCACTCTCAGTCTTCAGAACATGAATCAGTACTTGATCAAACAATGAATGCTTCTGAAGATTCACCGGTTGACGCAGAAACAGAACAAGACAGAGACATCTCTACGCTTGTCGATGCTGAAACTGAAACAAGATCTTTAAAAGAATCATCAGAAGAAAGTCCTAATAACGTTTCTACAGTTGGTTTTGATGAAATTCCTTCTGTATTTGACATCTCTCGAGGTATGTATTTATCTTTAACATTCAATTATTTCTCCATAATCAAAGTTTTCGATCAAATTGAGAAACTTCATTTTTTTTGTTGCTCAGATCTAGATACAGAGATTGTCTCAACAAGCAAACAATTAGACGAAGTCCTCAACATAGATGCACAAGATAAAGTGAAATTTAACTATGTAAGAGACATTCTCGAGATCTCCGGTTTCAATGCACCAGAATCTCTCTCAATGTGGCAATTAGATTACCAGCCGCTAGATCCATTAGTCTACGAAGAAGTGACAACAACAACAGGATGTATGTTTCAAGATCCAGAATGTTCAAGAAACGAAGAAGAAGGCGGTAACTGCAACCATTTGCTTCTCTTCGATCTAATCAACGAGGTACTAATCGAAATCTACGAAAGGTCTTACCATTATTGTCCCAAACCATTATCATCCCTATGTAAGATCCATCCAATGCCAGTGGGGTATAGTGTTTTGAAAGAGGTTTGGGTTAGAATAAGCTGTTACTTGCGGTACAAGCCATACGACGAACAACAATCGTTTGATAAAATTATGAGTAGGGATTTGTCGAAAGAGGATGGATGGATGGATTTGCAGTTCGAGAGTGAATGCGTTGGGATTGAAGTTGAAGATTTGATCTTCGAGGAGCTTCTAGAAGAATTGCTTGTATCCGGTTAATAGGGCATTCAAGAACTCATTTCTTCATATACCTCTCCCTTTTTGGATTTTCTGTTTTTTTTTTTTCTTGGAGTTTAAGGTACATAAAAGAGAAAGGATGGTGTTTGTACGAGTTTTTGTTGTTGTTAATTTGTGATAAAATTGTGTGTAAAAGAGTTTGTAGAGGAAATCATGTGTTAACATGAGTAAGGATTAAAAAGTTTGGAGTATATATTTTTGATTAGAAGGTTCTCATGTTATGTTCTTGTAACCAAACGTGGTGTGCAATAATATGATATAAATAATTCGTTGCTAAAAGATGTTAACAAAAGCCCGTCTAGCTCAGTTGGTAGAGCGCAAGGCTCTTAACCTTGTGGTCGTGGGTTCGAGCCCCACGGTGGGCGATATGTTTTATTTATTCAATTTTGGAAATTGTATATAACTATGCAAGTGTTGATTTAATTCTTGGGAACGTGTAAACCCCAAAACCACTACTACATTAATCATTTTTGTTTTCTTCACGTACGTAAGTTCTTTATCACGGAATCACGAGAATAGAAAACACAATCCCTTTTTCTCATATAGACACTCTTTTACTTTTTATAGAACTAGACTTATCGACACTCCATGATGATTCCCATATGGATGGTTCTCATATTTTTTCCATTACTTTTTTTTTACAAAGACCGAATTTTGGAAAATGTATCAAAAAAGGAGAGATTCGATTCGAATACCCACATAGAACGGACAAGGTCAATAATGGGCCCACTATTTCTATTGAGAGCCCATCTCAACAAGTTGAATCATCTTTTTGCGTACTCTCACTTCACGGGACCTTTTGACAAAAGTCATTGAAGCCAAACTTTGGAACACTACTTTACTTTGGCAACATCTTGTTTTTTCAAATTGGATAAACCAAAGCCATATCTAAAGTGAAAACCATTTAACAAAAGCAAAAAAGTGATATCTAAAGTCATCTCAATTTATGTAAATTAAAGAGAGATATTGAAAGAAAATTTAGGTCTTAATTGTCAAATGGAAATATATATTCAAACTTTTATTTGTATTAATTGTTACTTTGCTTTCCTGATTAAAATCTAAGATTTTGTTAGATTTTTTTTCATGTTTGTAAATCTTTATAAATGTAAAAAGCTTTTATTTCCAAGTCTAAATTCTGGAACTTTTATTTTCTGTTTATTGGAATGAATTTACTTGAGGAACGATTATTTAGGTGATAAGAGTGGACAAAGATCGTTGACACGTGGACGGTCTACAAATTCTAATTTCGCCTATAAATATCAAAGCTCCTCAATTGATAGTTTCATTCACTGATTATTTGTTAAGAGCTTGTTAAGGCAAATTAAGATCATCTTCATAATTCTTCTGAGATCTTTTCCAATTTTCTAGAAAAAACATGTCTTGCTGTGGTGGAAGCTGTGGTTGCGGATCTGGCTGCAAGTGCGGCAATGGTTGCGGAGGGTAATACTTTCTCGTCTCTCACTTTTTTTTATTTTCTGTAAATTTTCCCGGAGAAATTCTCTATTTTCCCGTGAAAATCAAAAACCCTAATTTCTCGATGAGATTATAACAAATTTTTTAATCAAATCTCTTTGTTTTTAATTATGACACACGATCTTTATTTTTTTTGGCTTTGTACAGTTGCAAAATGTACCCTGACTTGGAGAACACCGCCACCGAGACACTTGTCCTCGGCGTTGCTCCGGCGATGAACTCTCAGTACGAGGCTTCCGGTGAGACTTTCGTGGCCGAGAATGATGCTTGCAAGTGCGGATCTGACTGCAAGTGCAACCCTTGCACCTGCAAATGAAGAACTCCATAAACCCTAAGTCTGTAATAACCCTAATGTTACGTTAGGTTTGCTTATATGTAATAATTGGCTGATTTTGCCGGTAGTTTTGCCGGCGAAGTTGGTCTTTCTCTTCTTTCTTCTGTGTGTTTTATGGTTTGGTCATTAAGATATCTCTGCAAAGTTTTATCTTTGTGACTGTATTAATCGAAAACTATTATGGGTCTGTATTTGATTATTTTGGAGTGAAGTTTCCGTGAGAAACTTTAAAGTTTGCTTCTTTCTTGCTCCCTACACAATTAAGATTCAAGTCCATGTCTCTCTGGTTATAAAGTTAAACAAACAAGAACAGACAATAATGAAATTACACGAGACAGAACTCATAATACACAAGTGTTGTTTGTTTGCTAGAGACAACAACTAAGGTGTTGTTGAAGCAGTAACTGGCTTCTCAAGAATTCCTTCAGTGGCTTTTTTGAATAGGTTATGTACCTGTCTTGAGGTGAAACCGATCTTCTCTAAGTCGGTAAGCTGTTGAAAATCCTGACATTTGGTTAGTAGATGAAAGAGAGTTTAGTACTAAAGGCACAAATTGGGGGAGAGAAATTGAGTGTGTTACCGATTTTAAAGGGCTTGTTTCTCTAAGTTCAATAATGTACTCAGCCATCTTCTGTCCAATTCCCTGAGAACAAAAAAAATGAAACAGAGCTTTGTGCAGTGAAACCAATATTAACTATGGAAGCAGAGATTTTTTGGATTCACGTGGCGGTCTGTGCTTGTTCACAAAGAAGTAAAGTTACCTTTAATTCCCTTAGCTCCTCTCTGTGTGTTCACAAATGAATATATGAATTAAGTTAGTTCTTGTGTGATCCTAAGGTTTGTGAAGAATCTAAGGCAGATGTGACTGGAGGCTATTATTACCTGTTGGCTGTGTTCAAGAAGTGAATGTACTCTTTTATGAGAGAGGTCTGTGAAATGAAAAAAAAAAATTGCATAGAGAATCAGATTTCTAGTGTTCTTGTCATCATATACCATGTTTTTGAAAATGTTGATCATACCTTTAAATTAGTGCTCCAAGCATTGAATTTCTGGCAAGTGCCTTCCATCTGCATATTCTCAGTATTTGCATAAATAAAAGGTGTTTTTGGAGTCATTGGCTTGAGAATGGGAGAGCTTGCATCTGCTGATTTTGGTGCATTTGAGTCTATTGGAGACAGAGCTTCTCGAAGAGGACTCAGTTCTGTGTATTCCTTCTCGAGCCCGAGTGAGTTATCTAGAAATAACACAAACAAAAGTAATAAGACATATAATATGCCCACAAACACTTATCAACAAGTGGCTCAAGAAAGCGAACCTCTCAAGCTTGCTTCTGATACCAACAGATTATTTTTGGCAGATGTGTCTCTCTCATCTCCTTTGGCTGGAGAAGCCAAGTGCAGATTCTGTATTGGTTCCTGGATTTTTCAAACCACTTAATTAGTTGAGTTAAGTTTTAACGTAATAGATCAAAACGTGCAATATGATTTTCACAATGAAAGTAGATCAGCATACCCATAAATGTGAAGCAGCAAGAGTCTCCCCACCAAATAAGTTCCTTGCGGTCACAAATGCGTCCCTGTATATGGATATAATGTGAGGGAATAGATTTTAGGATGTAGAACAATTAAGATCTCAACCATTCAAAGGGATACCTCTCTCCTTTGCCATCAAGTTTAGCACTTTCTGCAATGGCTGATCTTTGACATCCGAGTTTCTTGACTGAGCTTTGAGAAATTGAAGTTTGGCTTGTACCCATCAATGGAGACCGTATTGCCATCATTCTATGCACGCTCTTCGTCTTGCCTTTTGATTCAAGCCAAGCTTGCAGTTTTGCTCCCATATCTATCTTAACCTTGGGGGTCTCTACCTTGGGATTCAAAGAAATATTGTTTGAAATGTGCCTTGACCTTGCAGCCAGGCTAACAGTGCGAAGAGATTCTTGGTATTCTCCAGGATTCTATAACAACAAAAAGAAGCAAAAAGATTCATCACATTAGCCACTTAGGATATTTCCTGATCAAAGCAATGAACCCAATAAACAACAATAGGATATCTTCTTACCAGACATGCCACCATGAGAGCCCTACTTGTTCCTCCAAGTGAATCCTGCAGTATTCTAGTCAATTTGCTTTCCCTGTAAGGCACTCTTGGCAGGTTATTATTCAGTGCATAAACCACATTGGACAATGCAAATAATGACTGATTAATCTTGGCACTCTCTTGTAGACGGATTCCTTCATTGCCTGTCCTTCTATTGTCTTCGTTACCTGGTAAAGCCACGGAATTTTTGTTAGTATTCCAGAGAAGAACATATAGAGGCTCCCTCCATGTATTTAGATACTCAATATAAGAAATTACCTGCCAGGTCAATCAGATTAATTTTTCCAGTGCCAAGCCCTTGTGATGTTACTGAGATCACAAGCACTCCATGGCTTCTACTAGAGACATCATTTAAACCAGTGTGTGCAACTTTCCTCCGCTGAACGCCACAAGAGTATGCCTCGTGAAACTCACACATGGAGTTAACAGGGAGACTAGAAAGTCCCTTAAGATGAACTTGTCCATCTTTATCATCCCAAATAGCAATCTCATTGGCTTTAACTTCTAAGAGATCCCAACATCTGTCCATGTAAACTTCATAATATGAAATCTCTGCTCTACTTCCTGTCTTCTCGCACATAGACAGAATGTTGGACATGGTCAATGGCATCAGACCTGGTAGCTCATCGATCCCCTGATACATCAAATGCAAAAAGAGCTGAAATCATTACAAAGAAGCAATTTACAGAAACCTCCAAAAGTAGTTTTGAGGAAAAGCTATCAATATCTGTTAAAGCCATTTCAGAGCTTAACATCACATTGGTATTGATAAAATCTCATAAAGAAACAGAGTTATATAAAACCACTCAGATTGTAAATCAGTAAAAATCTCTCATTTTCATGGTCTTGTGAGGAGATATTTCCCAATCCTTTCCTCTACAATTAAACAACATTTTTCACAAATTCTCCAATCCCCAACAGAAATTAAGCACAGACCAAAGAGAAAACCAGTTTCGATATTTACCCTAAAATCGAAATTTGTGAAATTTAATAGCTTTAACGGACCTGCATCGTAAAAGTCTTTCCGCTTCCGGTGGCTCCATAAGCAAGAACTGTAGCGTTGAAACCATGAAAGATCCCATGAATCAAAGGGCTTACTTCTCTATCGAATATCTGTTTCACATTATCATCATCTCTCCCGTAAAACGCATCCAGCTGATAGCTTTCGTTACGACTGCTCCAAATAACACCGAATCAATACCAAATCCGTATTCAAATTTCTAGTAATAAGAACAAAAATTGAAGAAGAGGGAAACAAAAAGAAGATTACCAGCTCTCTGGATCTTTGAGGTGAACAGTCACTTCGTTAGCCTCTCCGGCATCGCTGTTGATTACGGAAACGCACGATCGCCCCTCGTCGGAAATCTCCCGGGGAAGAAAAGGACGAACCCTAAGGACGACCCTGACTTTAGAAATCGAAGAAGAATCCAACAATTTGGATTTCGCTGGGGTTTTCGAATCCATGTCTCTGTATGTTTGAGTAAAGGGGAGAGAGATGATGAGTTAATTTCAAAATTTGAGGAGCTACTAGTGAGTGAGTGATCCGTTGGTATTTTTGAATCAATTTTTTAAAAAGGCCTTTTTATTTGTTTAACTTTCTCGGACTTCGGGCCTATTTTGGGCCCATTTATGCCCTTGGTGATTAATACTTTTAGATCGGACGGCTCTCGCTAAAAGATTAAGATATCACCGTTAGATGAGTTAAATCTCCATGATCCGACGGTTCACTGGCGAGCCAAAGGCCCAAGACTGTCATTATTTGTTGCCTTGAGGTTCAATTTCAAACAATCGTACTCAACTGCAAGTTAAGGTCCCATGTGCTTGTTGACTTTCCCGGTTCCAATACCTTACCACCAACCATTTTTTAATGATACCATCTTTCAAGTGTTCATTTATATATTTTTGTTAATTTTTTTTGTTTGACAATTTGTAAATATACTGAACGACTATCATGTCTAATAGAACATGTTAGAGAGTCAGATTCAGAGTCAGGAGTGCCAAGTTGGTTTATTAAAAACAGGTAATATTCACACCGTTGTGGCGTTGTCAGTTTTTAAGTAAAACAAATTGTTTTAGATAAATTAGTATATTAAAGACTAAGCAGGCCGAAAATGGGAAATACTAATTAACGACTTTTCTGTAACCAAGATATATATTATAACAAAAACTAAATTTATTAAAAATGATAAACATATCGATCAAGCTTAGCTGTATCCTGTATATACATCTATATGTAAGAGGGAGAGGAGGGAGAAGAAGAATATCACAACTATCCAAAAATCGTTTAGTAGCAGCCATGTATTCAAATTCAGTGGGTGAATTTCGTGAGGGAGAAATCGATGGAAAACCATTTCTCATATACACTTTGTTATCTCAAACAGAGAGCCCTTCTTCCGGTGAAGCAGCTGTTAATTCCGATGGTGGGGACGGCCTCTCTCTTGAGCCTCGTATCCTCTGTCCTACTTTACGTCTCAAAGTTAAAAAGTTGAAACCATACACGAGAGATTCAGATCGTAGCTTTTTCCCGTTGGTTGTTTCCCCTCACTTCCCCACCATACAAAGCGGTCATGAACAACCCGAGTATATGCTTCATTCCGACAGCTGTAAGCTCCCTTTACTCCCTCTCTTTTGGTGCAACAATAAAAAACGTTCTATTTTCGAATTTATTTGCCGTGCATGCACAACCCAAGAACATGGCAGAAGCTATTACCTTTGTGTCACATGTGGTGACCAGTTCCACAAAGAATGTATTGGTTGTCCACTTGAGTTCAAACACCCTTTCTATCCCTCTCTTTCTCTCCAACTTTACAGTCCTCCCTCCGACCGCGTATTATGCTCATGTTGTCAAAAACGTATCGATGGCATGAATTATTATAGTCCTACCAACAACTTCACTCTGCATCTATTGTGTGCATTCAAACCAATACCCTTCGTTATAGATCACCCAAAAAGGCATCCCCATC